TTCATGAGTCGCCCAGAGAACAAATGCAAAGGTGTCCATCTTTGTGTACAGTCTATGATCAGGGTGGATGTGTCACTGTCAATGTTTGCTGTTGTCATAGTTACCAGAGAGGCGGGGAAGCAGAAGGTCACCATGAAGATGTGGTGCAGCACCATGAGGAACTCCCTGCGCAGGTAACCAATCACAGTGGCTCCCATTAACCCAACGCTTTGGCCCGCCTCCTCGTGACCTTTGACCTGCAGCTTGTGCCGGTAACACAGAAACATGGCGTAGATGTCGTAGGCAAAGTAAGGCGTGGCAAATAAGATGTAGGCATCAGTCAGCCAATGTCTGAGCAGAGAGGAGATGGAGAGAGGCTGAAGCAGCGTCATTACTTTGATCTCAGATTTAAGACATCAGGTTCATTTAGGCCAGAAACATCCAAGACACCGCCCTGTGCTCCAGTTTAACGTTATCTGACCCATACATCCACCCGGGCCTCCTCCCTGCACTCACTTCATGGCTCCAACACTTTGTCACCCGACTTCCTTTACTGCAGTAAGCATGGGCATCCACTAGTGGGCGCTGTCACACTGAAATGCAAGTAGAAGAAGCTGCAGTTCAGACATAAAATGTCTGAGCCTCTTTGGGCACCTTTTCCTCCGTCTTCTAAGCAGGTGTCCACAAATGAATAATTAAAACAATCATTTAGATCTGATTAGACTCCCAGACTCTAAAACAAACTGCACCTGCGTGTTCAGCTGTCCTTCTCTTCTTATTTCCAACTCTAGATTTTCTGTCTTGGAGTCTTCTAAAGCAGCTTTGCATGAATCACACTTAAAAGTAATCCTTCTTTGTCTCACACTGGAGCCTCTCAGGTCATCCTGAAACTAGTTTTTCCTCCCTGTGAGAGACCTGTCTTTTGATTGGCTGCCCCTCATACACAGCATGTGGGTGAGGCTTCTGTATTATCCCAACTTTGTGACATCACACTGATCCAACAGTTAGAAAAAAGAGCTTTTGTCATTACTGTGCATGCTGTAACGTGCGGTGGAGAGCGAATCAGCAACGGCTTCTGACTTTCCAGAAGTACTCATTTATTTAAAGTATCAAAAATAAAAGTACCACCTCTACCACACATTTCCTGAGAGCACACTAGCCCACGTACACACAGAAGAATCCATCGCAGAGAGACTGCGAAGAAGAACAAAATGGGGGCGCCGCCATGTGGCGACACACTGCATTACAACAGCAACTGTTACAATACACTGAGCTCATGGTCATGTTTAATATGAGCATCAGGAGCAACAGGAGATGTGATGGAAACAAGGAGAACAACATTTATTATGTGGCTCCATCCGTCCACTCCGACCTCCACCCTGCATGGACAACCAGCAGCACCTTTTCCAAAATCACCCTGATACTCCTGATACTCCTGATACGTGTGAGTGGATGAAAAGCTCAGCTGTGCAGGCAGGAGCCTGAAGGCTGAATTGTCAGAAGTGTATTGGAGGTTTTTAGGATACTTTTACTGTGGTAAAGCACTGAAACGCTTCCTTCTTTCCTATTTTTGAGGTAAAAATGTATTTTCTAAACTGAACTTGCTGCTGAGCTGTAGGTGTACGAACTCCCAGAGTTCCTTGCTGCTTGTGGAGCGTTGTGATTTGATAAGCAAATGCAGCTCAGACTCAGATTCAAACCTTTGCTCCACTTTGACTGGGAAATGAGAAACCAGCTGACCACCACGGCGCTCCGCTGTCGTCCCTCTGCTCCTTGACAGAGTTTCATTTCCCATCATGCTCAGCGTGCAGGATTAGTCTCAGACTGAAATAACCCTGCTGCTGCTGCACATTAGGCTCAGATTGTTAAGGAGATTATCAGCTGAGCTTTGCTTCATACTGAATCCTCACACTGAGGCTGAGGGCTTTACCTTTTCTATGCAGCAGCAGAAAAAAAGCTTTAAATATATTTTTAGTCCTGGATAAAATAATAATTTTCTTTGGGAGAATTCAGCTGAATGTTAAAATCAAAAATGTCTAAATTCAAAATAATCTGGGAGCAAATTTTGATGAGAAAAGAATACATAACAATGACACTGCTGATAAATGGACCACAAAGAGGGAAGGTTTAATTGTATGAAGGTAAAATGATGAAGAGACAATAAGAACCAGAGGAGTCCTCACCGGTCCTCGATGACGTCCCTGCAGGACGCGATGATGATGCATCCGGCTGAGGAGGCCATGATGGACTGGATGGATGACACCAGGCTGAGAACACAAGCAAGATAATAATCAAAGCAGCTGAAACAAGAGAAACAAACAGCTGAACTTTAACTGGACATGTGTCGTATGTTTGCATGATGCATCTAAATCTTCAAAAAAAGAACTAAATAAAATAAAAGCTTCACATTTAGGTCTCATAAAGCATGCAAAGGCTCCAGCGAGGAGCTGTTTGAGGTGACAGCTTCCTTATTGTTGGAAAGTAAAACTAATACTCACATGGACACGTAAAGTCATTAAACCAGTTACAAACAGTGCAAAAGATACAACCACAGATATACAATAACTACAAAGAGACACAAAGTGATGAGGGACAGCAAACAAAAACAGTCTTGGTTCATCTGCAGCAGCTTCAGCTCACACACCGCCGGGTCAAACTGAGGTCAGGATAAGACTGGGACTCACTCACTTCTGGGGAGGTCATCCTCCGTAAGTCAAACTGCGTTTAAGAGAAAGACAAGTGTGATGTCCTCTGAAGTGTGTGTGTTCCTACCGTGTTGACACGACAGCGGCGTCCCCCTCGCTCCATCCCATCAGCTGTTTGAGAGCCTGTTTGGACAGGAGGAAGAGTCCTGGGAAGAAGACGGACCCGGCAGCCACGAGGCCCCACATGGCAACACACTTCTCAGAAGTGTGCACGTGTGTGTGTGTGTGGCTTTACTCTCCCGCTCCTGTGGATGTGGGAGGTTAGGAGAGCACGGGTTGGTAGGAGTGGTTTGGGGGAGGAGCCTCCTGCTGCCACCTGTCAGAGGTGTGGTGATGGGAGAGGATCTGCAGGCCGGGTCAGCAGAAAGCAGGTTCCCTCCAGCTTATTCATGTCATTTGATTATTTGCAAATCAGTGTGAAATACGAGCAACGCTTTATTCACAGGCGGGCCCTCATCTCGAGGAACGTCCTCGTAATCTGCTCAGAGTAACTAGGAGCACCAAGGGACATAAAAATACATTTCAAATTAAAAGTCAAGGCTGAGTTTGCCCCCACCACCGTGGGTGTGTGGGTTCCTCCCACAGTCACCTGCAGTTAGTGGGGTCAGGTTAACTGGTGCCTGTGAACGGTTGTTAGCTGGAGACCGGACCCCCGCCTCTCGCTCTGGATGGAAGTTTAAAGGAATTAAAGTATTACTAAGTTATTTTGCACATTTTGTAGTAAAAATAAATTTGGATTTGAATGTTTGCTTCTCTTATTTTGAGACTTTGAGTTCTCCATAGAAGTTAGATTTTCTGAATGTGATGCTTTCATCATCATTAATCAAAACTGAACTATAAGCTTGGACATCACTTTGTTTTATAGATAATAATGAAGAAATAGTTTTCTTTTCATTAGAAGTAAAACGATGTGAATTACATGTTGTGTACTCACAGGGAGATAAAGTCAGTTATTATAAATGAAAGTGTGCACGTCTTCATTTTGTGATGTTCATGTGAGAAGTTCTTAAACACCAGATGCAGATCAATCAAACAGCAGCAGCTGAACGAGTGATTTGACTTCATTAAAAACCATCAGTGCTGCAGTATTAAAACACTGCTGACACACAAACTGAAGCCAAATCTGAACCAATCTGACGTCCGTCTGCTGCGACTGTAGAAGCTCCAGCAGGAAATACAAACACGTTCCTGTTATCACCGTTTAATGAATGATGAAGCATTTAGTCATTTTTAACACTCTGATGCAAACTCTTTAGTTTGACATGAATGACTCCGACACCGGTGCAGGGCAGGTAGATGTAAAGCAGAGAGGGCGGAGCTTTCAGGGCTGTGGTATCGGCCTAAAGGTTAAAGTTCAAAGTCTGTTTCCCTGAGTTATCCCATATTTGTCTGAAGGAGCAGATAAGAGACTGGCAATGTTTAACTTTTTCTTATTTTAGTCGATTTGTGATGATTATGGATATACGAGCCTCAGTTATTCAACCATAACTGGGGCACAACAGGCCGAGCACGTTTAAGGAGTTTATAGCTGGCGCCGAGTAAAGTTCATGAAACTAGAAACGAGAGGCGATTTATTTTACTGCCAGACTTCTGTGGCTTCAACAGATGAATTCTTATATTATTAATGATTAATGCGAGCAGGTGAAAGGAGGAGAGAGTCAGAATAAATGAGTGTGAATCAGAGGGAGGCGAGGAAGGTGGAGGAGTTTAAATACCAGCCACCAGAGAGGTGGAGACGAGTGAGAGCTGATCTGTGGAGGAGAGCAGCAGGAGGGAAGGGAGGGTTTAAAGACCTGCTGGGGTGGTTCAGAGACGGAGGAGGCCGAGCTGAAGATGATGGACAGCAGGGACAGGACCAGAAATGAGTCCATCAGAGGGACAGCTCAGTCAGGGAGGCTGGGACAGTCTGAGCGTGTGCAGAGGAGGGAGGATGAAGAGACCTCAGGGGAGGTTTGTGGATGATCCTCTGTGGCGCCACCTAAAGGAAGCAGGTCGTGACTACTTTGTGAATTTATACACACACACACACACACACACTGCTCAAAACATTATAACAGGGGAAGGGAACTCCAGGCCTCGAGGGACGGTGTCCTGCAGGTTTTACACGTGTCCTCAACATGTCTCCAAGTTCTCCAGAGGCCTGGCAATGAACTAATCATATGATTCAGGTGTGCTGACCCTGCAGGCCTGGAGTCCCCCCCCTGCTGTAAAGTGTTTCTTTAATTTTTTGGAGCAGTCACATGACTGAGGAAAGCCGACATGAGATCATGCGGTGGATGCAGCGCAGCTGAAATGAGCTGCAGAGGAAACACGAGCCAGAGTTTTATCCAGTGTCCATTTATTTATGTATCTGTCATTCACTACTTTAACTCTAAACATTTTTTTAAGAAATTCAAGTATTTGTTGGGAACACAAGTCAAAAAAACCAAAAACTTTGCTAAAACAAAGACAAACATCTTTTTAAAACATCATATTTAGAATAATCAACACATCAAGTTTCTTTTCATAGAAGAAAAACGAGTCTAATCTCTACAGCAGAGCAGCCGCCTCGCTCCGCTTCACCCGACGGCTGATCTGAGAACAGTGCAGGGAGGGAAAGACCAAACACGGGTCGCCTAAGCTGGAAGGACCGCTACGACCACGACGACAGAAACGAGGAAAGAGACGAGTCCGGAGGGAAAACGGCCGAGTGACCGCGCGTCTCTCTGAAGTCAGAGTTGCACTTTTAGTCGCTGCGAACATCTGCTGAACATCTGCAGGCTGGAGAAACGACCCATTCATCATCGACCTTTAACAGAAACTCACAGAAATAGGATTTGTGACCCAATCTGCAGCAGGAAACGTGCTGCATGATATTTACATCACATGATGGTCGCTTTGTTTACCTGCAAGCAACCCGAGGCTGCTCGGACCTGATTGGTCAATACAAACAAAAGTGTGAGTCTCTGGACGAGTGACAGGTTTACCTGACGAGCCTCACGATCACACCGCCAAAAATAAACTTCGTTTTTTTAAGAACACAAAATTGTTTCCTTGACTTTTCTTTAAGTCTCCTAAACGGCCGTTTTCCACAGTTATTGAGTTTACTGTAACAACCTGCAGACGTCTGCGGCGCTCAACGCTAACAAAGAAACGAACCAATCACACGACCTCCTGACGACGCTCCGGTGCCACCAATCTGTCCGTGCTCGTAATTTATAAGGAGGCCAAGAAAGAAGCTTCATGATGAACAATGTCGTCACACAGCCGAGCCTGTGCTGAGGAAAAGTTGGGCGTGAGGTGGAAGGAAACGCCTTCGAGGTTAAGGTCAAAGGTCTTCACACAGAATTCCTCTGCAGGACAAACCAACCAGCAGCAGCGTTCCGGTCATGTGACTGAAGTCAGACAGAGCTGCACACGTGTTGTTGTTGTTGTTGTGTAAACGTTCTCGTCTCCGGACTCGCATAAAAACAAAGAAAACCCCCCAAAAAAATCTAATTCGATCACAACAAACAAAAACAAAATAAAAGCCTGCTAATAAAATCACTTCCTAAAGATGAATTAAATAAAACGACCACAAAAGGTTTTCGTCATCTTCGACAAACTCAACCATTGCACAGCATTCAGACCCAAACGCTCTCCGCGGGGTAATAAATATACACATGCAGATATACAAGTCGCCCTCCGCGTTTCCACGGCGACGCAAGCTGAGGTTTCAGGGGTTCCAAGAAAGTTTAAAGAAACCAGGAGGGCGCAGGAGCGGCGCGGACGCCCGGCGCCTGATCCCACCGAACCCAGGAAGCGAGGCACCGCGAGCTGTGGGTTCCCGCCGAGTCTTCACATCGCAAAGTTCGTGAAACGACCAAAAACAAACAAACTTGGGCTGCTTCGTCGACCCTCAGAGATCCTAAAAAGCTTCTTTGCAGTCACACGGCACTAAATAGGTGGGGGAGGGGCTGCCAATCTCCAATCAGAACCAGGCTGATGGATGACACGCCTGCTCAGCCACAGGTGTGATCACAGACGTCAACCTGCTGCTTCCTGATGCGATTTTTCCTTTTTCTTTACAACAAAATGAGAAACTGAAATTATTCATCAACTACTGAGAACATCAGGATGATTAATCTGCTGATTTCACACACACAGTAAAATCTGCTTCCGTGTTAAACAGGCGCCTCTCGCGTGTGAAACAGCGGCTAAAGCGGCGTCTGCTTATTTTCAAGGTGAAACCTTCCGTTTAGCGCGTTACCAAAACCACCAGCGGGCCCCTCAGACTGAAGGCTTGCGACCAATCACACTTCAGGAGAGCCGTGAGCATCAGGCACCGCTGATCGTCGACGCTTCAACGTTTTTAATGGTTTTGAAGCTACAAACATACGACTCCGCTTCCTGTCTGCGGCCGACACAGGATGGAGCGGTACAAGATAAATCGGGAGCTTTTACTCTGAAAATCCTCGTGCATATTTTCGGTCTTGTTCCCACCGCAGGACCAAAAGCCTTTTGAGGAACTGGGGTCATTTATCTGCGTTTCCTCCACAGGAGTCCAAACAAAGCCCAGAAACTCCCTTCAGCCACTTCCTGAAGATCCCAGCTCCGAATCCTCCATCTGATGTTTTTGTAATTCTCATTTTGGCCACAAGGAGACGACGAGCACACTGCATTTAAAAGATGGATGTTGCTGCTGCAGACGCCGTTTGGTTAGTGAAGTCCCGTTTTTCACTCGTGCTTTTAGGCGGGAACGATCTGACTGAAAACGGCACATCCCGCTGAGCCTCAGATCACCATGACAACCATAAACTACGAATCTCCTTCATGTTTTATTCAGACGAGAAGCTGAGACCACAAACAGGAAAATGTTCGCAGAGCGACGCGCTTCTCTACAACTAACCCTTCCTGCAGCTAGGAGTCGCCCCCTGCTGGCCATTAGGAAGAACGCAGGTTTAAGGCACTTCTGCAGCGCGTTTTACACCATGCACAAGTGCCATTTAGCGCAGCACTTCCTGCGGCTGAAAACAAGTGTTAGAAAGAAAAAACTAAAGAGGGAAGCTGGAAAGACTCATTTTCATCCTGACAAACACTTCAGATCACACTCAGGAAAAACAAATCTGAGCTTCCAGAGTTTAGTAAAGGAACTGAGTTCTCTCAGATTTAGATGTGGGAACCCGATTACAGGGCTGAAGGACGGTTCCTGGGTTCTTGGGACCTTTAGGCTCCTGGGTGGTGGAGGAAACGCACCGCTGCCGTCCCGTTAGCACACCGGGGTAACACCGCCGCCTCCTTTTGTGGTTTCACGCAGTTCATCTATGAGGACACCTGAGCCTCCGCCTGACACGGGAAAACACAAACAAAAAAAACAAAAAAAACCCAGCAGCATTTCACCCACAGCGTCCCGTCCACACCGACTCAGAGCGAGCACGAGGTAAAAGTCACTGAATCTGGAGGAATGATGGGGAAAGTGGTTTCATTTCCCCTCCAGTTTATTCTTTTTATAGAGGCTTTTATTTTTCCTTGGATTGAGGTAACCTGCCACGGTGGAGACACACCCCTGTCAAACACTCAATAAATTAAAAGAAAACGTCACCGTCACTTCCTCTTCCTGTTAGCGAGGGCGGAGGAGGCGAGCGGGGAAGTGTCAGAACACACGCTGAGACGGGAGGGAAAAGTCCGCATTAGGGGAGAAGCTGCCACATATCTGCAGATATCTCTTTCTGATCAGAACACCGCATCAGACGACTCAAAGCAGTCACAATTTCCTGTCGTCCTTTTCAAAATAAGAGTCTGCCACCACACAGCCTGGAGAAATGAAACTGAGGACGATGAATTCCTGATTAAACTCCTGCTGGACGAGGGAGAAGGGTGGTCAAACACAAGAACCGAACAGCTCGCCGGGGGGTGGGGGGGGCAAAGGTAACCGTGTGTGCAGAAACACCTGTTGGTTAAAACCTGCTACATCTGTGAAATTGCATTATCATCACCACGCGGCCGCCATGAAGACGCCGCGAGGTGAAAACACAGTGAGTGATGTGGTATTTATAAAGAAAGGAAACAAAGACCTTGGCGATGTTTGGCGGGCGATGATGTCATACCGACCAACCCATTACATCGTAGGCAGCCCCGCCCCCCACCGTGTTTATCGCCTTTTCGAATGAATCCGTATTGCACAGGGCTGGAATGACTTCAAACATCAACTAAGCATCGAATCTACCAAACAGTTAAAATCTTTAAAGTCTCTACGAACACATGAAAATCCAAATCCAGTCCACTTCCTGTGTCTCACGTCAGCAGCTTTTTTTTTTTTTTTTTTTTTTTTTTTTTTTTTAAGTTCAGCACCGAAAAACGCCGAGCGTCAGAAGTTTGGGTCGAATCACGGGGGAGGAAATATTTGAGGTTTTTCACGAGGTCCTGGTGTGGGCGGGTGTGACGGTCTCCTCCAGGTGAAGGGAAAAAAACAAAAAACAAAAAGGAAGAAGAAGAAAAGATGACCCAAACTCTTCAGTGCTTTCAGATGCCACAGCCAATGAAATCCCCTCTCAAACTGCCGTCGCTCCTCGAGATGCAGAGGAGCGCCGTTCATCTCTCCTCCTTCCTGGACACCTTAGAGGAGTGCCACGCAGTGGACCTGTGGAAACAAAGACGGTGAGTGTTCACCAGGCCAGGGCGACGTCATAGTCCTCAAAGAGACAGACGCTCATTTTTCTGTTAGAGACAATACTGAGGTCACCTTATTCAATGTAATGTATACAGCACCAAACCACAACAGCAGCCTCCTCAAGGCGGTTTATATTGTAACCCCAACAATCAGACGGCCCCTACGAGCAAACACTTGGCAACAGTGGGAACAACAAAAAAAAAAAACAAAAAAAAACACTCCCTTTTAACAGGAAGAGAGCTCCAGTAGAATCAGGCTCAGATGTGGAGGAGAGATTAATAATTAGATGCAGAGGTGTATAAACAGGGATTAAGGAAGAAGTCTGAGGAGCTTGGAAAGAAAAGCGTCTGGACTTCTTTAAGTTGCTTGAAGACGTTTCACCTCTCATCCGAGAAGCTTCTTCAGTTCTAAGGTCAAATGGTGGAGGGTGGCAGGTTAAAGCCCTGTGGGAGTGCCCCCCCCCAAGAGGGTCAATGGGATCTGGGACTCTCCACCATTTGACCCTAGAACTGAAAAAGTGTTTAAGACTTAAAAGTTGAATGAAGAAAACGCCTGTATGAGCTGCACTCGGTGACAGTAGGAATAAAGAACTCCTAAACAGGAAGAGACCACAAACAGAGCCGGATCAGGCTTATCTTGTAGTTTTGCACCGAGTCTATGTTATCAGTTTCAGCACAAACGCATTGATTTTAACGTCGCCTTGTTTTCCTCAACCCACCCTGAAGTCCTGCCCTCCTTATCCTCCTCACCTGATGAAAGTCTTGAAGGCAGCACTCTGAGGATTGATGCACAGCGGCACCCGTTTGCCCTGCTGGTGCTCCGTGATGAAGCGATGGATCAACTCTGAGGACAGAAACGGGATCATCAGCCGCAATCAGTCGCAAACATCACAAAGGAAGCTTACAGCTGTAACCTCCAGTTATGGAGGACAAACTGCAAAAATCGTTATATATAAAAAAAACAAAACAAAAACCCCACAGTATACCACACACACCACAAAGAATAATAAAATATCTAAATTAAATACGGTATTATAGAAAAACAAATAATTTCAAGAGTTTCAAATCATCTCGATGATGATTTCACCAGGTTTAGACCTCCACACTCCACTTTCACAGTGAAGGCTACTGCTCTCTCTCAGAGTTAGTGTTTGTTTGTAGGGCTTTTATTATGAAAGGTAAAGAGGATGTTTGTCAAAGACTTGTTTGACTGTGCGACATCAATCACCTACTGCTGGGAAAATTAAAGTAAAAACCTGTAACAAACATTACGTGGCTACGGCTCGGCCATATTATACCGTTCACAGTACAACGCTACAACGTTGGGCAACGATAAGAAAATGAAATATCGCGATAGAATATGGGTAAAACGCTCATGCGCAGTGCCTTTGTTTGCGCACTGCGTGGTGTTTGTCCGTCAGACACACAAATTGTTTTGTAGAACATGCAAGCGGCCGTCGTTATTGCCGTATTTGTCAGACTACGGTGCTCGTAAATCTGGGAGTAATCTGGGTCCTAAACTCAGTTTACTTCAGGTCCTAAAGTCAAACGGCCACTGCAGCATCACTGAGAGTTAAACTGTCTAAATTCTTTCATCTTTAATAAAATGATCAGCGTTGCTGCTTTACCAGGTGTAACTATGAAGTTTAACATCCAGGCATCCATGAAAACAGAATTCATTACATTTAACGGAGTTAGACGTTAGCAGGAAGTTAGCGGAAGTTAGCTCGCTAATTACTTAAACACGCACACTTTACTTTTACTTTTATAGCATGTTCTGACAGAGATTTCTGAAGCATTCAAAGGTACAGCTCTGCTACCACTTCCAACATGAATGAAAGCAGAAAACTAAACAGCAGTGACGTTTGTAGGGTTACTGAAGTTGGACTAGCTGCTATATAACGATGTGCTACGTGATCGCTAGCTACACAGCTATGTTAGCATAGCATAAACAGTGAAGCTGCAGGATGAATGCTAACTTTCTTCCACCCGATTAAAGTTAACGTGAAGGTTCCTGATGGTTAGAGACAAATGCAATCGCATGGCAGGATGCTGTAAACGGACCAAGCTTCAGTCAGGAGAACTGAGATAATCCATCCACAACACGAGGTTAGTCATTAATATACTGCAACAACACAGGAACAGAGCTGCTGTGATAGAATTCAGCATTAATGAATCAATGGTACAGAAGTGGAGGAAGCAAGAAGAATGAGCTGAATAAAGTTTGATTTATCTGACTGCTTTGTTTTGCTTAATGTGCATTATAATCCCGTGCAGCTTGTGGTCGGAAAAGTCCGTATTTGACTTTTTTATTTGGCACACTGCAGTTTAATGCTGCAAAGCTCCTCTTTTTAACTTCAGTGGATATTATACATGGTTAACTCAGGATATGTCAGCACATTTCTACTGGAGATGCCTTTGGTTAAACTTTCAGCAAGGAATTTGTATTTGCACTGTTAAATGTTGTTAGCCAATTATATCGTCAGTTATATCGTTTTCACAAATTTTCAAATATATATCGTGATGAATATTTTTGCCCATATCGCCCTAATCTATTCGTGACCCAGAGCGAGTCGCACTTTCATGCTCAGACTGCCGCCAAAGGAAAGCATCACGGTGCCGCCGGCGTACCTTTCCCCTGCCACACTGACAGCAGGCTGTTCTCGTAGCTGTGGCTGAACGGACGCTCAGCGACCGGCTCAAAGTCCCGGGTGTAAACTCGCCCGCTGGGGACGGAGTAGCAGCACTGACACATGCAGGTGTGGTAACGCAGACGCCCTTCATCCAGGTAAGGGTGGGAGAGGGCGTCGCTGCCCGAAATCCTCTTGGCCTGAAGAGAAGAGCAGAGGAACAGTGAATAATTCTCCAGCTGACGGATTCAGGTGAGACCATACCACCATACCACCTTTATTTATAAAGCACTTTAACATAAAACCAGAGTTCACAAAGTGCTGTACATACTAAAAGCATAAGTAAAGAAAATTAAAATGAGATAAGATAAAATAAATAACTAAAAAAAAAAAACTAAAATAAATTAAAACATGTCAAAACAAATTAAGTCAACCCCTCTAATCAATGCCAAAGGCTTCAGCGAATAAATATGTTTTAAGAAGACTTTTAAATTCAGAGAGAGAAGAGGCCTGCCTAACATGCAAGGGTAGATCATTCCACAACTTTGGAGCAGCTACAGCAAAAGCACGATCACCTTTAAATTTATACTTAGTTTTTGGTACGTTAAGGAGCTGCTGATTGGCGGACCTAAGGGAACAGGCAGGTGTATATGGTTGTAGTAGCTCCGAGAGGTAAGGGGGGGGCCAGGCCATTAAGAGATTTAAAAGCAAATAAGAGAATTTTAAAAACAATCCTGAAATGTACAGGTAGCCGTGGAGTGAAATTAAAATTGGGGTAATGTGCTCAAACTTTTTTGTTCCAGTTAAGAGACGTGCTGCAGCATTTTGCACAACCTGCAGGCGCCTAATGGACGCATCACTAACCCCAAAATAAAGTGCGTTACAATAATCCAGCCTAGAAGTAACAAAGGCATGGATTACTGTCTGAAAATGCTGTTTCGATAAGATAGGCTTTATTTTGGCTAATTCCCTCAAATGAACAAAGCTAGATCTGACAACAGCTCTGACCTGGCTTTCAAGTTTAAGATTTGCCTCTATTTTAACTCCCAGATTAGTGATGACTGGTTTAACATACTGTGCCAGTGAACCAAGATCTATAATAGTGGCCTCAGAAACGCCACCAAAAACCATCACTTCTGTTTTCTGTTCATTAAAATGTAAAAGGTTCAAAGCCATCCAGGCCCTTATTTCATCAAGGCATCTGAGCAGCGGGTCTACTGAGAAGCCATTTATCTTTTTAAGTGGGAAATAAATCTGGGAGTCATCGGCGTAGCAGTGGAAAGAAATCCCATGTTTCCTGAAAATAGACCCAAGGGGTCGGAGATCTAGAGAGAAAAGAAGCGGGCCTAAAACTGAACCCTGTGGGACCCCACATTGAAGAGAAGCAACAGAGGATACAAACTCCCCTAGTTTCACAGAGAACGTTCGCTCTGCCAAATAGGATCTGAGCCACTGCAGTGCGGCACTCCGCATACCCACCAACTGCTCTAAACGGGAAATTAAAATATTATGATCCACTGTATCAAAAGCAGCAGTTAAATCTAACAGCACAATAATAACACAGTCACCTGAGTCATTTGCCAAAAACACATCATTAAAAACTCTTAAAAGGGCAGATTTGGTACTATGTAAAGCTTTAAAACCAGATTGGAAAACTTCTAAAATACCGTGTTCTTCTAGGAAGGACATTAATTGCTTGTAAACTACCTTTTCAAGAATCTTTGAGATAAAAGGCAGTTTGGAAATAGGTCTGTAATTCGCAATAATATCAGGATCAAGAGCAGGTTTCTTGAGTAGAGGCTGAATCACCGCATGTTTGAGATTGACAGGTACAACACCAGAGGACAAACTACTATTTACAATAGATTGTACAGCTGATGCTATAGTGAGAAAAACCTCTTTGAAAAATCGAGGAAGGAGAGCATCATAAGGGGAACCTGAGGGCTTCATGTGAGCAACCAACTCCTGCAGGCAGAGCAAGGAAACTGGCTCGAACCTGTCAAAGACAGCAGAGCTAGGGACAGGGGTAGAGCCCAAGTACTGAGCCCCGTGCAACACCCTCAAGGAAACTACCAGTCACACACATTCAGCCGGGTGTCACGTGAACATCTGTCCTGCTGGACTAAAACCAGCGCTCAGCTAACGAGTGACACCTGAGTTTGGCAGTGGATCAACAGCTGTGCTCGATCGTGTCACCACTTTCACGGAAAGGCCGTGCACGTGCTGCTTTTCATACAGCACAAATATCCACAGATACAAGGCGCAACCCGGGCACAGAGTTAAGGTCTCAGTGTGAGCAGAAGATTTAAAATGTCAGACGAGCTGCATTAAATCCACTCTGAGACGAAACGCTAACAAAACAAAAATCAGTCCAGTTCCTCGAATGAAAGGTGAAAATCTGCACTTCAAGCATCTGTTTGGTTTTTAAATCCACGGTGTTGAGAGAGACAACAGCTGTGACAAAAGCACAGCTGTGGAAACATCTGGGCTGCACCGCCCAGAGTTCCACCTTCTGGCTGCAGTAGTGAGTTACATCACAATGGATACTTATCAGTGGGACAGAAACCTTTTCTGTGCTGACGTCACCGAGTCGCCTCAGCTGTTACAGCTCAGCGATAACTGTCCAGGGTTTCATTTCCTCAGCAGTAAATATGATATCTGGTAACAGCAACAGTACGTGGCTCTCCTGAACCCCAAACTGTGACGAGGAAAAACCCTGAAGACCCATCAATCAGCTGGTGTTACTTACAAGTCCACAAGACCCGCTCACCAAATCACTCGCCAACGACTAAAAACCCAGAGATTTACCGCCGTCATGCTCGCTCTCTTCCGAGCTTCCTGCCAGGGTCGCCGACTCCTCTTCCTTCTTCTAACATCTAGAGACTCGTAGCCAATGGCGTGTGCCGCTCACCAAACTTACACCCTGAAAGAAGCGGCGAGGGCACCGAGCGGGAACGAAAGCCGAGCAGACCTCGCCGTTACAGGCGATGCGACTTAAAGCTGTTCGTTGGAGTAAAACAGCTGCAGCGTTAATTCAGACCGAGGTGTCCATGTTTGGGTCACAACAGCAAACATTAAACAGAACGAGCTGAAGGTCAGAAGACGACAGAGCGCCGGAGGAGCCGGACATCAGCTCAGCATCAACTCACCGGATCAAAGACCAGCATCCGGCAGAGGAGGTGCACGGCCTCGTGGGTCGCTCCGTCAGACAGCATGTAGAGCACCGACAGCGACGGCTGAGGACCAGAAACAGCACGAACAACAAGTCAGCACCGGAGACGCTGAGACGATCAACACAAAGAATGAATGCAGCAGAGTCACAGTCAACGTTTTTAAAACTTTAAGACTTCCTGGTTCAAGTGTTTGTGATCGTCTGCGGTACAAAAGTTTCAGACTTTTCAAAAACATGAATTGTGATTGTTTGTGCGAATGCGAGTCTGCAGCTGCAACGCAGCAGAACTTCAGGTCAGATCTGATCTTCCATCATCACTCTGTCCCACATTTCCCAGTAAACCCACCTCATTACCTGGCAGACATTTTGGATGTGTACCGTGTCTGTAAAGCGTTACACAACCACCACACGTTAGCGGGAGCTGCGGGGTGACCGAGTGGGCGGCTACTGTGAACACACGTGTGTAATAAAAGAAAGCAACGCGGCCTTCTTCCAGAGCAGAGAGCGGCGTGCTGCTGCTCAGCTCACGAGCACACCACGCAGTCACGTACCGGTTTGTGCGGCCCCCTCAGGATGTGGGCCCGGGCGCCCTCGCAGGCCGCTGCCAGGGCCGACAGAGGCGGCGTTCCCAGCAGGTCGGTGATCAGGTCCAGCTGCGACACAGAGACAGACCGCTTCACATCACAGAAGACCAGACAAAGGTTTGGATTTGTGGATCCTCAGAGCTGGAACAGCCGTGCCGCCATCTTTAATCCCACTTTCCGCGGCACGACTCAAACACGGATTCTACCTGAGCCGAGTCCACAGGTGAAACATTTTAACATGTTCATATAAACTGAAATCAAAGCTGAGAGGTGGATGTACATCAAAAGTTCAAAGGTCAAAGTTACGCATACATACCTGAACATCATCTTAGCCACACCTCTGAACTAACAGGAGGAGGAGCTAACCCTGTCACCTGACTGAACCTGTTATCAGCAGCTCTGCAGGTTTTTTTGTTTTTAAATGAATGTGTTGCCGGTTGCCGTGGCGCCCGGCGTCTCACCTGCTGAATGGGACTCTGAGCCTGGAAGAGGATGCGTCGCCCCAGCAGCTCGGCGAAGATGCAGCCCACCGACCACACGTCGATGGCTGAGCTGTAGTGCCGGCAGCCCATCAGCACCTCCGGCGCCCTGTAGTACTGAGTTACCACCTCCTGCGTCATGTGACGTGACGGGTCGGGCTCCTCCACACGCGCCAGGCCGAAGTCACAAATCTGAGCAAAATGGAAAAAACGTCAACAGCTCTATCCGAGTCACTCGAGCAAGCAGCTGATTGGTTTCCTCGTGTTTTGGAAAGGCGGCAACTTTTGTCCCTCCCACAGCGCAGCGTCAGGCCCAAACGCAGCAAAGACGTTTCAACACCACGAAAATCTGAGTAACTTCCCAACGAGTGGTTTCCTCAGACTCATCGGCTCCTCCTGCTTGGTGTAGCTACAAACGCCGCTGTGAGAGCATCGCCGTCTCTGAGCCTGGTACAGGTCGGAAAAGTATCTGTTGTATGTGTTAATTATTGCCACAACGATCGTGTTTTAAATAAAGCGCGCCTCGTTTTTGCCCTTAAAAATCTCAAACAGACGCCCTCGTCCAGTCGCTAAACCCCGCCCCTTTTCCACTCCAGTTTCAGCTTTAACTGGTGATTTCATGAACGGGAGCCGTGCGTCTCTCTGCACCACGCCTGCCACAGACTGGGGATCTGTGACCCCCCCGCCCCCCGCTTAAACAGCTGTGATAGGCTCCACCCCCTGGATCATCAGAAAACCGTTCCAACGTTTTAGCCGCCAGCACTGACCGCGGTGGTTTTGCAGGTGTCGATTTTGCATCTCGACCGTAACGCAGAGCAGCACAAGTTACCATGGCAATGTACTTGGTAACAAGCGAACCGCCTTCATAACCCCGGTAACCAGGCCTCGCGGCCTCTGATACAGGCGAGTGCGGCGTTACCTTGAGCAGGCAGTTGCTGTTGACCAGCAGGTTTCCGGGTTTGATGTCTCTGTGCAGGATCCCAGCGGAGTGCAGGTACTTCAAACCTGGACAGGAAACAGAGAGGAGGTCAGAGTTTTAAGCCTTCACCTGCTGAACCTCGATTCTGCACCGTCTGTATCGATATGCGCCGAGGTCGTCACCTTCATGGAGGAAAGAGTTAAAGTCGTCCTCCTGGTGAGCGACGACAACGTTTAAATCAGCGGTCCCCGCCGTCCGGTTTATGCCCAACAACATTTTCACAGGCCGGCCTTTAAGGTGTCGCAGATAAATACAACAAAATCAAACCGGCACCAAAAGAAGATTTATTCATAACGCAGGAAAGACCCGGAGAAACCGAGTGAACGATAGAAACGAGCCTCAACTCTCGCGGACCGGGACTGGTCCGTGGTCCGTGGTCTAAACCACCAGCATCACTGTGACGACTTCTTTCACTCTCCTCCGTTTCTGCTATTCTGCTTCCATCTCGAGACATCACACGTCACCGACCCGCCCGGCGAGGTGACGAAGACAACTAACTCCCAGAACTACAGCAGGAAACTCACTTCCTCCAGTGAAGTTTAAAATTTCATTACTAATCTGAGATTTAAAGGGAAAGATGGAGCCTGCAGTAGGACACGCTGCTCGCTGCAGCTTATGAGACCGTCACAGGAAAGTAAACAAAGCGAGGCAGCGAGACTGAACGACTGTTTAAATATAGGCCGAGACATTCGGAGGCGGATGATGATCGGCAGCTTTGCCTCTTCAGGAGAAAGATGGACGTGTGCGTTTGAAGCCGGCGGTGTATTTAAATCTCGTACTGAACGCGGTCATGTCGCTCGGCCCGTGTGGCGGCGGGACGCGAAAGAGCCGGCTCACCTCGGAGGATCTGGTAGAGGAAGACCTTGATGTGGTCCGTGGTGAGCGGCTGAGGAGACACGATCACTTTGTGGAGGTCGCTCTGCATCAGCTCTGTTATCACGTAGCTGCGGGGCGGTGAGCAGTCAAGGAAAAAAAATAAAATGCACACGCTCACACACGGACCGACCTCCGCCTACACGAGCACGACGCATCGCCCAGCACCGGCCTCCGAGGCGGGGGAGCGCCGGGGCCGCTCAGTGAAAAGTGCCGATGTAACATTTTTTAGAAATGATGCACATTAAATATTCATCAGCAGCCTCGTGCTTCACATCTGCGAGGAGCTGGATTTAGACCGGACACCGGCGGCTAAATTAAGCGAGTTAAAGGAGGACGTGAGGGAGAACTAATGAGGAGAAACTGGGACAGAAGGACTGAAGGATACATCTCCTCGAAGCAGTCGATCTGCGGAGGCTGCAGAATGTCCAGAGCCGACAGAACCTGCACGGAGAGAGAAAAACGGCATCAGCTCAGCGTCCACATCCAAATAAGAGCCTCTTCAAAATAAAAGCGCCCGCAGGTCGTTACATTGTCGTGTTTGAAGAAGCACAGCATCCGCAGCTCTCTGAAGACCCTCTTGCAGGAGACCAGGTTCTGGAAGACGTTGGGCATCTTCTTCAAAGCCACCTTCCGGCCGTCCCGAGGATCGGTCACAGACCTGTGAGGAAACGAGGCGCACGCTTCCTGTCACAGCTAGAAGACAGTCTGACGACACAGTTTAGGGTCGCTCGGTCTGCAGACACAACAGCTAACTGCTGCTCAAAGTGAATAAAGTTACAGTGAGTCACAGGTTCAGCGCAGCGACTCTAGTGCTCGACACAAAGCAGGCCTCAGGCCATGGCGGGTTAATCCTTTAAGTTTGGGCTGAAAACGCTGCATCTAAGAGACGAGACGGTGCTGCTGGAGGACAGGTGCAGTTACCCAAGTGTGGGGCTCACGTCACACACCTACATCAGCCTCACTGTGAAGCAGAGGCCACGTTCATATGGATGCAACTGCAAATGAGCCGTGTATTCCTCATATGCTGATGCCAAACCACATACAGGGACGTGCACGCCCACGGTACCAGAAGATCAGGGCCAAACATTTTTACTATGACTGTTTAACCAACACGACTCATGAACGTACACAGGAAGCAGAATTAAAGCTTCACAGTAAATGTGCTGGCCCCTCTTTGGGCTGCAGCGTCTCTGGTGGACGGCGCTAATCTAAAGACGAGGGAAACAAGCTGCTCGTCTGCACACGGCTTCACCTGGAAAACAGACATTTATAAAAAACACTCAGTGAGGGGGAGCTCTGATTGGTCAGTTACATTAAAATGAATCCCTGTATGAGGTCTTTAAACCTCCGATGTGATTATTAAAGTAAACTGAACAGAGTGTGGAAGACAAGACGAAGAGCAGCATCAGCTCCTTTGACCTTTGAATAAATCTTGTTTCACTGAGCCTGATTTAGCAGCCTGTCACAGACCCACCCCCCCAGCAGCAGTGAAGATGATGCTGTTGTAGTTTGCGGTGGAGCCTCAGGCGGCCGTGGTTTGGTCTACAGTAATGATGTGCAGTTCTCACAGACAGTTTTACTCTCCAAACTCCAGCTCCTATACCAGCTGGGAAGCAACCGTGACGTTTACCTGTCGTGAATCCAGCCCGGCTTACATAACAGCAAACACACATTTTCTAACATGTTCTACACGACCTGTTGACTTATCGGCCCACTGACAACCAATCACACGGGTTCAGGCTTTATCCAAAACACACAACCCTGAGGACAGCTTGGCCAGGTTACAGCTGGGGGGCAAGGCCTCAGGCTGCAGCTGTGCAGAGCATCAAAGGTCTAAAACCACTCAAACCAGCTTAACCAGAAATGATCAGAGGCTGGTGATGAACCCAGATGGCGATGAGGTGATGCCATCTTGTGTGGTGACAGTTTGAGCGCATGTAAACAAAGATGGAGCTGAGTTTCAAGTCTGCACAAACAAGATGGAAGTCGGAGCAGAGGGAGCTTTCTGACAGCAGGGATGTGAAGCATGATTACGATCACAGCGTTTTCTTACCAAACAACTCCAAATGCGCCATAACCGATGGGTCGGTCTGGCTCCATCTCTGCGGGGCTCGGCACCTCGCTGGCTGGGTTGCTGTAGGGCTGAGGCACCGCCGCGCCGCCGCCGGTGCTTCCTCCGAGGGCTGTGGGGTGACGAGGGGTCCCTGCCGGGGCGGTGGGTCCGGTGAGGCACGGTGTGGCGCTGAGGCCCGTGGAGGGGGCTCCGCAGGAGGAGCTCACGCAGAAATACTTGTGGCCCAGCTCAGAGCCCGGAAATAGGTCTCCACACACGGTCTGCCGGCCTGCGCCGTGAAATGCCATCCTCCTCCCGGAGCACCACCCGGACACGGTCGCGTTATCTGCCGCTGCCTGCTGCTGCTAGGCTCGGAGGACCCGCAGCTCCCCGCTAAGCATGCCCAGCCTGTGAAGGAGGCAGACACACGTCAACGCGCTGTGGCTTGAAACACAAACACGTTCACAGGCCGAAGTGTGCTAGTTAAATCCAGGCCAAATCCAGGCCCGCGGCGGAACGGACCTCCGACACAGCCGAGCCGAGCCACCTTTGTTTGTATCAGGCTGCGCTCACCTGGTTAGTGGAGCAGCTAGCATCCCCCGGCTAACTAACGAGTCAGCGTCCAAAAACAGAAATATAAAATAATCCACCCGCTGCTCCATCACCCAGCTCTGCTGCAGAGACCACAGCACCCACTCAAGCACACGCATCGATATTCACTCTTATTTTTCTTCTAAAACCATTAAAACAAAAACGCGTCCGCAGCTAACCAGCTGTTCTGGCTAACCAGTTAACCCCCCCGATGACCCACATAACCATCACCGGCCGGACGAGCTGACCTAGATCGACTAAGAAAGCGAGCTTTCCCCCGCGAGGTCCAAAAATGAGCCTACAAACCTGACTCGGTTAAGCAGCCGATAGCATGACACGGAAACGGGCTTAAAGAAGGCGAGAAAAGCCGAGTTAAATCCTCGAGCTAGCCGGGATGGTTAGCCAGCGGAGCCGCTAGCTGCAGCTAGCTGCGGGCTGCTCACTAGCTGGCCGCGACGCCGTCACAGGCGGAGAAGAAGCGTCCATATAGGCGGTTTCTCCTCTTTTCCGGGTGGAGGTTCATCCAACGGCAGGTTCCGAGCGGGGCTTCGACCCAGCAGGGCTTCGGCTCCGGACTACAGCGACAGCTTAGCCCGGCTAGCCTGTAGGAGGAGCAGGTGAAGCCGGATGGGGAGGGTGGATGATTTTTTTTTTCCCCACTCTGCTGTAAACACTGGGTGACAAATTAAAGGAAAAGAAAACCCAGAATAAACGAGGATAAATGCAGGTGCTTCCTGACACAGGTGCGCCACATGGTAACAGCCAATCAGCATCCAGCCCTGTTCTGCACAGGTGTGAACACAGCAGGCAGGTTCAGCGGATTCTGGAGGCGTTTAAAATGGATCAACAGGGCTGATTGTTGGCGACCATTATTGGTGCAAATTCTGGTATCGGTAGGACCCCACGTAAACACACGGCCGCTATCCCCGATAACAATGCCGATACTTTCATCCAGCTAATGTAGGGGAGAGGTGAATCCTCAACATGTTTGCAAATTCTGAACACATTTTAATGAGCACTACATCACTGTTTTTACTTTCCATAATAATTAGATAACACAACAGAAGATATTTCAGAATATTTCATTTTAAAACTTTGTTGGAGTCCTATGATGTAAATGTGTGTCTCTAAAGAACTCAGTCACCATCTGCTGTCTGTAAAACAAAAGACATCAATACAAATTCTATATTTATATATACATTTTATAAAATGATCTTTTTCCCAATTATTGGAGTAGTAGTATTTTTAATGTATTTTTCCATGACAAAAAATTATTTAACTACGCACTGAAACAATGTATCTATCTGACCGTTTATACGCAGCCAGTATTTGGATTATTATATAACACTCTTGATAATCGGTCATCATTGGGTTATATGGAGGACTCAAACTGCCACAGTTTAACATAAATAACTCAAATACGTCAAAGTATATTTAAATTAATTGAAGTAGTATTTTATAAAATGTGGCAAAAATGTATTTTAACCTGAATTAACAAATACAAAATATAGAAGTTTACAGGCAAAATAAACCCCATAAAATAAAATACTTATCATCTGATTTATACTTTTTAAATATTGATTTGATATAAATTTAACCCTGATTCATTCTTTTTTATATGGACTTTGTTTTGAAGCCTTTCCTTACACAGAGCCCAGTATTACAGGAACTACTCTGACTGTTTTAATATGGAGGACTAACAAATACTTATATATTAAAAGAAAAGTACTTTCTATTAAAGGCAAACACGGGGGACGCAGCAGACAAATGGATTCATATTTAAGGAAGAAAAGTCCTGAGCATAAGTTAGCGCTATCTCACCTCAGTCTGAGGCTCAGACTGAATAGAAACATTACGAGCTGCTAAATCGGAGCTAACGGGCCCGTTAGCTTTTCTGAGCCGGTTCACCGACACCTTTAACTTGTTTCAGTGCTTCAGATGAAACATCCACATTCAGCACCCACTCAGACACTGTGAAGATGACCTGAACTCGAGTCCACACGTGCGTTTTACTGCCTTTTAATACAGTAACAGTAACGAGGCGCTATGCACTATGCATCAAGTACAATCAATATGCACAGCCACAGAAAATGTGTCACCAAGGTAGCTACAAATTACATGGCAAGTTCAAGAGTTACAAATCAGCATCCAGAGTAAGAACGAAGATCATACGAAGCAGAGAAGTTATGCACATTCAGTGTTCAGGGGGAATATCCACAAACAACTATCGGTCTGCCGTTATCTGCTTTATAAAAGTGTGTATGTACAGCGTGGGCCGTCAGAAACACCCGCTCCCCACTCAAAGGCAAACCGGATACCGCTTGGCAATAAATTAGAAGAGAAAATGAGATAAATGGTGTTACTGAGGTCTCTGGGCCAGTTTCCTGGTGTTAAACACGGATATCATGGATCAGAAATGGTGTAAAAATGGCGACGGCGGCTTTACAAAAATCAAGAGCGGCTGAAAATGAAAACAATGAAGTGATGATAACAGCTAAGCGCCAAGCCAGGAGAATAAAAACACACATTAGTTAATAACTGATGGGTCCTCTGTTGTGCAGGACTCCAGAGTCGGTAGTGTGAACGCAGAGAGCGCCTCCCAGTGCTGGAGGCCGGTCAGCTGACAGAGGTGGGCGTCGCGGGAACAAACCGAGGTCGCCGTCCTCACAGAGCCACGGAGAAGTCGTGGCACTCTCCATCCAGATGTGGCAGGAAACAACCTGAGACAGAAAAATCAAAGCTCACCTCATTTCATAAAAAAAGGTGCAGCAGAGTCCAGGACTACAAACATGGCGCCATTAATGAGCAGAATGGATCCACACACCTGCTCCGGTGGCTCCTCCTACGTGTCCTTGCTTCCTTTTGCCTCGACTCCTGCGACTCCCCCCTCGACTCCACCCCACCTCCGCCCCTGATCCCCTTCCCTGCAGTCCCACCCCAGCTCTCCCCTGCCCCCACTCGCCCCCCAGCGTGCTAGCTGTGGGGCTGCGGGGCGATACCGGAGCAGTCAGTGACCAGCAGTCCCACTGTGCTAGCACTGGACACCGTGACCGCCACGCTGGTGGTGCCCACGGGCCCCGTGCTCGTCTGGTCGGGGGTGGGGTCGCCCTGGTTGGCGTGGGTGCCCATGTGACCCTGGAGCTGCGTGGCCGTCTTGCACTGTACCCCGCACAGCTGGCAGAGCAGCACGCCGCCGGCCCCGGTCCCGCCGAAAGCCCCCCGCGCCCCGCCGCTCTCCTTCCACTCCTGGCCGTGGTGCTTCTGGGCGTGGACGCGCAGGTAGGTGAGGGTGGTGAAGCCTGCGGGACAAGAGCACACAGACACGTGAAGGCGGGGTGATGGCGGACTGTCGGTGGTGCTTTCTCGTGACGCAGCCGTGTCTTACTGCGGTTGCAGAGGTGGCAGGCGTGGTGCTGTGATTGGTTGTGGACCCGCATGTGGTCGGTGATGTAAGCGGCCGACAGCAGCTTCCCGCAGATGTGACACGGCACCTTCTCCTCGTGGCGAATCAGGTGAGCACGGAGGCGATCCCGTGTGGCAAACGCTGACGTGCACGTCTGCAGAAAACAGGAAGGCGTGGATGAAACGAGTGAAATTTTCAAAATAAGACGTAGTTGCTTATCAAAACACTTAAGAGGACGAAATGTTCTAAATGTAAAATTTGATGCTTTTTATTGAAATTTTGATGTTGTGGTTTTCTGAATGCAGGACTGGCGGTGCTGGTTTACAAACAGGAAACAGGTGTTACCGTGCACTTGAACGGCCTCTCTGTGGAGTGCACCTGTCGCACGTGACTGTTGAGGTGGTCCGGTCTGAAAATGCAAACAAGAATGAGATTCATGTTTTTTACTAACTGTTTAAATTGTATTAAGGTTTAAAGCATTATTAGGGGCGGGGCCTCTTTGACTGACAGGCGGCTGTAGCTGCTAACTGTGTGCTAGGCTTCACCTGAACTGGACCGTGTTTGTGCCAATGGAGCTTTTTTAATGACATCATCTGACCAATCATATGGCCGCTCTCTGAGCTCCAGCTTAGGTGAGATTCTGGGATTACGATTGGATGTTACTAATCGGCAGGTGTCTGTGTGCTGGCTACAAACAACCAACATGACGGCAACTATAAAGCTAAAATCCAGAGTAAAGAAACTGACGGATGACATCATGGTGGTTGCAGCCATCTTTTATTTACAGTGTGTGTTTGCTACAGGAAGTCTGGCTGTATAAAGTCTGGTTATGAAATGGTTCTAACTTATGAGCTGTGGTGTGTGGGGACACTGCTTCAGTTCACTTGGACGAGCTGAGTGAACAGCTTCCTGATGACTTCACAGGTTCAGGCACTAAAGTCGTGAAGCAGCATAAACTGTATATAGAAGAGGGACGAGGCAGCTGTGAGCAAATCAAGTCGAGCTGTTCCCATTTTCTCTTTCGGATGTTAGGACTGAAACGGGGGGACTCAAACAACTCGTCTTTGTTTTCCTGTTCTCATCAGTTTGTGTTCAATGAGACTTGAAATCAGAGGCTAAGATCAGAAGCTCATCAGGACATAGAGTCCTAAATAACCACAAAACAGTCACATCTACATCTTTCATGGTGTTGCAACTGCTAAATGTGAGCGGTTACATAAACGAGCTCTCTGTGAGGAGTTAACGCTGCCCGAGGAGCGGATGGCGCTCGTACCGAGAAAAGGCCTTGGCGCAGTGCGGGCAGATGTACGGCTTCTCCACGCCGCCCTGGTGCGAGCGCACATGGTAGCTCATCCTGTCTTTCCTCTTGAAGCGCTGCTGGCAGATGGGGCAGGAGTACGGCTTCTCGTCCGAGTGGGACAGCCGGTGGCGGTTGAGGTGGTAGACGTCCCTGAAGGCCTTTCCACAGGCCTCGCAGGCGTGGTTCTTCCTCACCTGATTGGTGCTGGGAATGGGATTAGGATTGGGATTCTGCGGGAAGAGGCAGAGAAGTTCAGTCGTAAATACACTCTGAAGTCTTTTCCTGCTGTCAGAGGGCCTCTCTCTGCTCCCGGCATCAACACTAGCTGATTATGATGCTCGTCTGAGGTTTTCTGATGTTTTGATCCACAAAGATTTAATTCAAATTGTGTGTTTATAACCGTGAATGTCAGCGGCCATGTTTCTGGACACTTCCTGCAGCTGCCGCTGGCATCAAAAGGCCCTGAATGGTCCTTTAATCTTGGCCTTACTCTCTGGCTCTCTTCCCGGTGAACCCACCTGCTCCATGGACCCAACGACAACAACGGCTGCCTGGATGGGCTGAGGCGGCGCAGCCATGGTTACTGTTGCCGGGGCGATGGACACAGACACCGGCTGGCCCTCCTGGTTGACGTGCTGGCCGGGCTGGGGGAGGGTCTCTTGGCCGGGAGCCGCGGGAGGGGGAGGAGGCTGCTGCGGGGGCAGGGCGAGGTGGAGGAGGGAGAGCGGGACCGTCTGCTTCTCCACCCGGCCGGCCTTCGCTCCGTCCTCCTTCTCCCGGGCCGCCCGATCCTTCATCTTGATGCCCGTGTGCACCGACTGGTGCCGCCGCAGGTTGTAGCTGTTCTTGAACTCCTTGTTGCAGGTGGCGCAGATGTGGGCGGGCCGGCTCGGCTTGGTGAGCGGTTTGACTGGCGGACATTAAAGTCACATTTTAGTCACAGTCAGTGCACTCTGAGTTTAACATTTGTCTGAAGAAACGTCGGTAATTTACTGACTTCAAACTAATCCTGTAACACTGGTTTGTAAACTGTTAGAGGACAAACTGAGCTCTAACACAACAAACACAAACAAAAAAAAGATAAATTCCTCAAGTGTTTATTTCTTTGTTGATTTACAATCTACGGAAAACTGAGCGTACTCATGTATGGGGGACAAAAAGTGTCAACACAAATAACTGGCACCATTTTTAACCATTATGTGAAATATTGTGCCATAATACAGGGAAACCCTGCTGCTTAGCAACAAATCAAACCAATCAACTGCTAAAAAACACAATGTTGTGCAGAGTGTATGGAGGACTTTTCTGGAGAAATTTAAATAATTTTGATGAATTCTGCAGATCTGAGTAAAATCATTCAACATTTTTGGGCTTGAATAATGTGACCAAATGTGTCACTTTTTTAATATTGTTAAATATACTGTATATTTAACAATTTAACAACTTTGTACTGCACGTAACATTTGCAGCTGTAATCTTCAGTCATAACAATAATAATTATTATAATCATTTTTCTGTTACCACAATAAAAAGAAAACTGTTCCTGTTTCTGGAAGAGAAAACACGTCAAACCTGATAAATATGAAAATGAAAAACATGCGAGTTTTAATGAATGTATTTATTTTGCAGCTCTAACCTCAAAAATGTTCTTTCTTGTGTTTCTGTAAACAGGCTGATTAGTGAAACTTTTGGGTGTCTGGTTTCCCCTCACAGCTCAAACGTCTCCTGTACATCCAGTAAAAACTGTCTACACAGAAGAGCCCAGCGTGCTGCTAAAGTCACTGATACTCTGAAGTAAATCAGAGGACATAAACCACAAACATGAAGCCTGTTTTCTGCTCGTGAACTCTGACTCTGTGATAAGCGTGCAGAAAAATAACATCTCCCACTGATAACCAAACTGCTGACGCTGCAATAAAAGCCCAGAGTTCAGAAGATAACCTTTAAAAACGTCAATATCGGCCTGTTTGAACAACTTCAAAACACGTCAGTGACGAGGTTTAAACCCCGCCCCATCCTCACCTGGCAGCGGCTCCTCGCTCAGGGCGGCCGTGTCGACGGTGGACGGCGGTGTCACGATGTGCTCGCCCGGAGGACTCTGAGCCGAGCCGGTCAGCTCCGGCAGCAGCTCCGACTGTAGCGGCGTCTCGGGCTGACTCTGAGTCGGAGGCGTCTGCCGGAGGTCAGTGAGAAACATCTGAATCAACACACAGCCATTTACACCTGGAACATCCAGGCTCAATGGAAGCTTATTTACTGTAACAGTGTACACAGGGCAGGTGAGGGCGTGGCTCTATGGAGGACCAAAAGTGTCTACAAAGTAAACCAACATCTATAAATGACTGAATGTGTCATTAAATGCATCAAAAAGGACATTAATGATTAAAGTTTTGATGACAATGACGACAGGTGTAACATCAGGCGTAAGAGGGCGAGCTGAATGCAGAGGGAGAAGGTCCTGGCCCGAAACAACATAACATTTTCTGAATGATCTCCAGGCTGACAGCTCTGTGGAGGACTTCATCGGTGAGACGTGCAGAGTGCAGGAGAGCGCTCGGCTCTCAGTAAACCACGGCACATCTGGAAACACCAGCTCCGTCTGGAGCAATGCAAAGCTCTGTGACCCGTCTAAGCTTTGAAGGATGACGATAAGATCCCCGAGGTTCTGTGATGGGTTACAATAACCTGACGTCATGCAGGAGTCTGACAGCCCAAATTTCTTTTGCTTACAAAAAGAGCTCAGTATCGGTCAGCCCTGTGCAGCGCCCTCTTCAGGTCACCCCACAGATTTCATCTTCAGCTTTCTAGCAGACGCCCGGTAGCACGATGGTGCCACCACCGTGCTTTGCCATGGCCGTGCATTCGTTCAGTGATGCACGGTGTTGTTTCTGTTTCTGCAGCTTTCACAAATACGGCCAAAAAGTTCAACCTTGGCCTCATCAGACCACAACGACACATTTGCCCACATTTTTTAACAGTGCGCTGAAAAGTTTCTCTCCGTAAGAGAAACAGCTCAGAGCTCAGACGTGGGAACATCCGGCCTCTCAGAACGGCTTTCTTCTCGTCTTTTTGTTTTAGCACTGCCTGGCTAATTAGAAACCAGCCTTCAGAGGTTATAGGTCACAATCAAAGTGCAAAAAATATTTCGCTTGGCCTAATTTGTTTTTACTTCACACAAACCTGCCACAGCAGAGCTGCAGAACCAGTTTATGCTTCATGGGTCTTATGGAAGCATGAGAAGAAGCTGATAGTCTGTCATGTGCTTCAATACTTTGGCCAAAAGTAAAACACTTTTACTTACACTGTTGTTCAACATGAAGTTCGATTACAAACTAAAGCGGGTCGAGGAGTGTTTCTAAAGGGGGCAACGAGTATTTATTTGCCCCCTAAAGGGTTCATGCAGAGTGGCTGTAGCTCAGGAGGTAGAGCAGGAAGGTTGGTGGCTGGTCCTCCTAGTCTGCACCCCAAGTTGCTCTCCGGTGTATGGATGTGTGTGACTGTCAGTAGGCGCTTGTGTGAATGGGTAAAGCGCTCTGAGTGCTCCAGGACAGCAGAAGAGTGATATATAAGAATCAGTGAGGACAAACACAAATCCTTCTCTCACTTTCAGGGGACTGACAGGTTAAATAAGGAGGCAGTGCCCCGGGTGAGAGGTCAGCAGGATCAAAGTGGAGACAAGGGGATCCACACCAACAACTCCCCCCTGACCCCTCCGTGACCTCCCCACCTGCAGCAAAGCCCAACGGCCCCCACCCGCCCTCAAAAAGCCCAAACCACGCAGCAGCCACGGGAATTTAGCACTCACCTGAAAGAGGAAATTACTCCAGGAGGTGTCCATCCTGAAGGAGACCCAGCTGGGGACCGAAGAGGAGGAGGAGGAGGTGGAGGAGGGGGAGGTAGAAAAGCTCCGGGAGCTGCTGTGAAAACAAAACGCGAGGCCTGTATGGCAGCTCCCCTCCACCGACAGGGGAAATGAGTCCCAAAGCCCTGACACTTCTTAGAGAAGAAGCCTCCGAGAGGCAGGAGTTAATATGGCAGCTAAACAGTCACTGAGCAGATGCTTCTGTAAATGCGACAGAATGGTTGGTCTCATGCGTACTTGCTTTAATGGTGCGGTTTAATTTAATTTGCTTATGTCGACTGGAATAAAAATCTGCATGCAAAGTATTTTAATGGCGAAGCCGAGCAGTCGAGACGTGCTAATCATAGCAGCGGCTGTTCGGGACTCGTTTATAGCTCCGACAAGGCCGCAGCGTCGGCTTCCGAGCCTCGGAGTTGCGTAGGGCTCGTCCCCCGGCTAGAGCGCTCCCGGTCGGCCGCGGTCCGTGGCTCCGCCTCGGTGTCTGAATCGACAGGATGACATCTTTCTGTTTTTTTCAAACCCGCTCCCTCGCGCTCCCTCTCGCCCTCCCTCCCTTCGCTCTTTCTTCCTTTTCTTTTTTTTATCTCTTCTTCACCCCCTCTGTCCCTCTCTGCTTTAAAGGGAAAGTATTTGGCGTGTGCACCCTCCTCGCGGACCCCGTCTCGGCTCGTCTCGTGCCGCGCCGTCCCTCTCGCCCCCGCCACTTCTCGGTAGGCCGACAGATAATCAAATCCGACATTTATGGGATCAGCTCGGCCGTTAACTCCGCCACTTCGCTTAAAGGAACCCGAAAACTGGCGCTGCGCTGCGGGGAAGAGGTGGCAGGCGGTGATCCGAGCCGCGTTCGCGCCAAACTCTCCGGTAAAATGGTGTCGGGTTCGGCTAAAATGAGCCTTTATCCCCGAGCATCTTAAAGGTAACGATGCGCGCAAGTGCAACAGCTGGATGTAACCTCAAAACACATGACGTCCGTCCGTGAACGGGCCACACCGCGCGGCCCGCCAGACTCCATTCAAACGACTCTAAATTCCCGTCTCCGGCGGACTTACTGCACGATTGAGTGCTGACAGTAACACAGCCACGACACGAAGGACATCCCCACGAATCCGCTCGACCTTAAATGAGCACAGCTGGATTTTATTATTTTTTTGTTCAGCCATTGTAGTGCAGTTATCCTCAGCTCCTGTAACGCTAAATGCCATTTCCTGCTTTCTTCACACTTATTAAACTAATTTTATTCTTTTATTTTGATTTACTTCATTCATTGAGGTATTTTATTTACTTTTTAAAAATTTTGTTTACCTTGTTTATAAAATTGTCACTTCCATTTTATTTAGTTATACTTGTGCTGACTGAACTTTTATTTGTTCATTTTGTCGTTGGCTGGTGTAACAGGAATTTCCCGCTGTTGTAATAAATAACGTTGATGTGATTTTCTCTCAAAGTGAGGAACGTGTCAGCACTAATATTCAGATGAAAACAGCTGTTTTATTTTTAATGTCAGACTGAATGGAAGGTGAAGGCGGGCCCTCGGGTCTCCAGGCTGAAATACAGAAAAACAATCGCAGGCAGCTGCACTTCTGCAGACGTTTTAAAGAGAAGCCCAGCTGTCCCGTGGCCCTGCAGGTCCAGGTGGAGTGACCAGGTGCCCCTCTTTAAGTGGCTGCTCAGCAGTTTTATTACCCGTCCACCTGCAGGGACACTCCCACATTTTGACCGTTTCTGGAATATAAAAGAAAAACGATGATCTGTGGACGAATCACAGCTTAAGTCAACGTTCAGCTTCTGTTCAGGACTTTTAAGAAACTGGTTTTATATAAATTACAGTGGTTATATGATCAAGCTGCAGGCTGGTTACTTCCCTCAGCTCTCTTCGGCCCACACCGGGTCTGTGTTTGTGTCTCACCATGAATCCAGATGTGTTCAGGCATCCATAACTGTGCATCAGCGCTGTCATTCAGAGCTGACGTGCAGATGTTCTCGCGATCACGTCCCCACAGCGTCAGTATGAACATGCAGTATTATGACAGCATGAATTCATGTTAAAATAAACCCAGTCTGCTCATTTCATGCTCGGCTCCTTTATTTCACACTTTTAGATTCTTGAGCTGTTCCCCGTTTAAGTCGTTCAGGTTGTGTTAAACTCTTTGGCTTCAGTAGAACAAGAATTTACCAAAAAATAAAGATCTGATGTGATATGGAACAGGAAGAAATAACTGAAGGTCAAAGTGCAGAGCTCTGCACTCGTCTTCAACGCTGAAAAGCAGAACCAATCAAACCGACAGCTCGTGGAGTCCAAACTGACTCGAAGGAGAAAAGTTTAAATACAAATCTGAATTTTTTTATTGAACACAACGTTTTTCTTTTGCAACTTTTTTTTTTATTTTTTACAGTAAATTCAAACCAAGCAAACAAAACCAGCATCAAATATTTAAATTACAACATTATTTCCTTTTAAATAGAACATCAAACTTTGCTTTCAGGTCGAGATATATATTTCATATTAATACATTCTAGCAAATACAGTATGCGGATTTCAGCACGCTCTCTGATTGGCTCCGTCAAAGCGACACACACAGGTAACACTTGGTGCTCCTCAGGTGAGGTAAACGTACAGTTTCTGACAGAGGAGACGCTTCCTCTCCTAGCACTAAAATAAAACGAGCCCAGCTACTGCTCAGCCTCCGTCTAATCAGCCAAGCATCAGCAGGAACAGGAAGTGAGGCGCAGGAACAGAACGAAAGGTGAGAGGAATATTTAAGCTTTTGGTCGTGTCATCATTTCAGGGACGGTTTCGTCTTCACAAATAAAAAACATCTAAATAAGGAATAAAAAGTGGATTTTCAGAGAGTGGAATAAGCATTAGAATTTAGATTTTACCATTAACGTGTCGGTAACCAGCCTGACGGTCACGGTGGAGGCGACTTCGGACGGTTAACGGGCGCTACACATCGTCAGCTGCTCCTCATTCATTTAAACACACCTGGAGTTTTTCCTCCGAATAAAAAAGTCGGTGTCCAGGAAAGAGCCTCAGGCCTTCTGACAGACACCACTGAGTCATGACATCATCTACACGCACACCTGCACAGGTGCGTCCAGTCAGACCGAACGGCCCGCCTCCTCTCAGCTTCAGACTGAGCCTCCCATCAATCATCTGTCAATTAATCACAATCACTGAGCCGACGACCTCGACCTAACAACAGGCAGAAATCTGTCCTCACAATCCTGCTGCTACACACCTGGAAATGACGCATAATTACAACAATAATAATAATACTAAAAATAACAGCAATAATAGTAATTACAATAATCTGTATTTTCATTTTTTCATGTTGTTAATAGTTTGGTCAGTAAAATGGGAAAATAATAATAATAATAATAATAATAATAATAATGATGATGATAACAACAACAACAACAACAACAACAATTTGGAACATTGATATTCAGATACGGAGGACTAAGAATGCCCTCCCCTCCCAAAAAAAAGGTTGAGTTTTTGTTTACTTTTGTAATAATTATTTATTTGCTTCTTTATTTACATATTTGTCCTTTCAGATCGCGCCTCATTTATTTTGGCCGGACTTTAGTCACTCCTCTTATTTCTGTATTTACTTTTCTTTCTAGATTTCAATATTGATGGATGTATAAACACATTAGCAGATAGCAGCAACATTATTTTTCCTGCCTACAGTCATTATTAACATTACTTCTTATTCTTTTAGTGATTTTTAAATTCCTTTTTGACTTTTGGTCCTCCGTATTTGTCTGTTCAAACTTAAATATTTAATTTAAAAATTTGTTGTTGTTGTTTTAAAGCGTTCAGATGTTTTTTAATTATTGCTATGATGTAAAACTGAGAAAGTGTGGCAGTGAGAATGAGCAACATTTGATTAGGTGTACTCGATAAATCTGATACGAATCGTCGGCTCGTTTCAGCTTTAACGGAAAAATAAAGAACACCTGCGTTAGCTCTCGCTCTCATCACCGACGGACACGCCTCTCACGTTAGCGTAATAAAATAGGAGAGCGGTAACCGGGGACCTGTCCGTTTATCATACATGTAACTGTGCGTGTCGTCCTTTAAGTTTGCATTATGAGCTTATGTTGTGATTTAAAGGCTGCGCCGTGGATTCGGAATATTTTTCTCCATATTTGGTCAGAATCCGTGTCGGTCTGACAAACTTTCCCTTTAAGAAAACAAGAATAAGTGAAAGCGCGACGGATCTGCTGATGCTGTTGCAGCTCTCGCCGCCTCCCCGTGACCTCTTACTTCATCTTCAAGGCCTTCTCCCGCTCGGCGGCATCAATGGCGGCCATGTTCTTGGAGGCGGTGATGAGGTGCAGGACGCTGATGCCGGACTTGAGCAGGCAGATGATCCCGCAGAGCCCCTGCAGCCAGTAGAGCCAGCCTGTGGAGAAATGCAGCGACTCAAGTTTAACATCAGACTCAGAGGAACGATGAGTTTCCTGTTCAGCACCTGAACACGTTAACATTCCCAGCTCTGGATTTTAACAGCAGGACTCTGCTAAAGAAGCTCAGCATGACTCACAGCTTTAATTAACCAAAAACGAGAACTCGACTAACACTCGCGGAGAACAACCACCATGACATTTATCAACACTTTCATCAACAAATAAAAAATAAGATGAAAATGTTCTGGAAAGATGAGATCCAATCAGAACTAATAAAGGTGTGCAGAAAGGTGGGATGAGTTTGGACGTGAGCCAATCAGAAGCTAGCTCCCACGATCTCTGCTGAACACACAACAAAACAAGGACACTCGCGAGGAAGAGACGAGCAGACGTACGAACACGTTCACACTCGATGTCAAAGAAAATAAACCGAAACTCTGACCAGCAAAAACAAACTTTACACTTTAACTGAATCCACATTAGATTTTAGTCGACAAGAATCTTAATCGACTAAAACAACTTTGATCCGTAAACACTGATGTCCAAACTCAGTCTCACCTGTGAAAGTGAGGAAGACGAGGATAATAAGCTCTTACCTGCCGGCTCCTCGATGTGATAGAGAAGGTAGAGCAAGCAGAAGAAGAGCTCGTTCCCGGCGCACATCACAAACAGGACTGGCTGCAGGACACACACACACACACACACACACGTTCACTGACTGTTCCTTTAAAATTCACATGGACACGTTTATCATACGACACACAGACCTTGGAGGTGTAGTAGAGGCGTAGGATGGCGTTCCCAGAGAGGTCGATGGTTTTATGGCTCGCTGATCCCTTTACAGTCGAGCTGAGGAAGACAGATAAGAAAACACGATCAGCCGCAGCACAACACCTCGTCCTTACACCTGTCATGGCTCTAAAACAGGTCACTGGGCAACATGATCTGATTCAGTCTGTTCAGGCCACACAGCTAAATATGACTTCACCTTAACAACCACAGAAACATCGCCCACCTGTGCAGGTGCAGCCAGTGGCTGGCGATGTCCAGACACATGCTGAGCTGGAACAGGAAGGCGTAGGAGGGGTAGAGCAGGGATAGGTTGACCAGCAGACACATGGTGGCGCAGCGGTCAGTCAGCATGTCCAACATGGCGCCGAACTTAGTGGCTGAAACAGACAGAGAGCGGCCCGTGAGACCAGAACACGACCTGCTGCAGGAACCGTCATGGCTGCAGTTCCTCTGACGTCCAGCAGAGGCTCCAGCAGCAACTGAGTCAATGTTAAAACTCTACAGCAGAAATAAACACAGCCTAAAGCTCCCACAAAGATTGTCTCACGAGACAGCGAGCATAAAAACGGCCTGAGACGCATACAGAAATCTACTCAGGGGCGTCCTCCTACATCAGCGGGTGTTTCTGCAGATATGGTAGATGTTGCACCTGACTGGACAGCGAGGGATCCACCTCACCACTGCGTGCTTTTAAGGTACCACACCGACCCACTATGACTGTGAAGCAGTGAGAGTCGTTAAAATGACCCAACCACACTCCTTCCATCTTTTATATACAGAGTGTGGTTATCACCCAGTATAAACATCAGGAAAACAAACACGTCCTCCATCCAACACAAAATCCACATTCAGTCAAATCCTGCCTTCAGGAGTCAAAACTGGACGTCTGTCTCACACACACACACACACACACATGTAAATACATACACTGATTGAGCGCTCGCGCTGCATGGCCGTCAAAGGCATCCAGCAGAGCGCTGAGCAGGTAGCAGAAGACGGCCGGCCACGGGCAGCAGGGCATCAGGAAGAAGGAGATCAGGGCCAGCACCACCCGGGCATAACCTGCAGGATCCAACCAAGGTGAAGAGATTTATTCAGAAACAGAGTGCGTTTTAATGATTTCAACACTGATTATCTGTGATGAGAAAATTCCTTCTTATTGCATATTATTTGTCATTTTTCGCAAAAACAATGCACTTTGTTATGTCTCTACACTTATGTTACTGCTACCTATTCCAATAAAATTTATTTTAGAACAAAAATGACAAGATAGAAGCTTATAAAATACTTCATTACACTGGGTACAAACTAGTCCACATACGATGAATATCTTATGTTATTTTCATAATTGAAGGCATTTAAAAGCATCATATTGAAGTTGTAAAAACCCATCGCTCAATGGCCTGATCAATCTTTTTATCCACAATAAAACCGGACATATTTCAGGGGGAAATGCTTATTTATTATTACGCAAACAACTACAATACAATAACACAACGTGCCGTCCTTTCCCATTAATTTCGGCTTGATTTGGCTTCCACTGTGACGTTACTCAGCTCACTTTGCCCAGATAAAGCAGATGAGCCGGATTCTCTAAATTGGACGTTTTTTGAATGGAGTTCGGTGAATTTTACATTTCGCCGGCTAAAGCTAAGCTAGCTCCGCGTCGCTAAAGGCGGGAAAAACTCACCGATTAAATTAGGAACGAAGAGGAAAATGTTCTCCGTCTCCATGTCTGCGGCAGTTTGTACGACAAACGGAGCGCCTGTTCTGCGTTTTTATCCGCAACAGGATCTTTGAAGGAAACTGCAGGCGACTATTTGAAAAGGTCACTTCCTGTCACCCAAAGGGCTCTTCACCGGAAATAACAAGGTTACAAATTCCGGTTGTTTTCAGAATAAAGGTGGAATGTTATGACAGCGTTTTGTTGTTGTTTTGTCAAATAAAAGTACAAACTTATAGAAAAACTAAAGGGAGCTTATGCCGTTACATTGATGGAAAAAAAATAATTAAGAAAAAGAAACTTTTGTGTGTCTTTAAGTTTGCATTGGTAAGGATCTTCACCTTTTGCTCTACCTCATCTCACTCTGAAAAAGGAAATAAAACGTACATTAAAAAAATATGTATTTTTACCAACAGTAACCATAACATAGACTAAAACACATATTTAAAACCCATTTACATGGAGATAAACCCTGTAAGCAAAACTCACTCTTGGTTGCGTTTTAGTCTTGAATGCATTTAATTTAATTTTAATTCTAACACAAACTGCAAAACTTTCTAAAAAGACAAGCGTCATTCTTCTTTGCACTTCCTTCTGGAGCGCAGCCAGGAACTCCCTCACACAGAAGACATGTTCATGCTGAGGAAAGTCCGTAATGCCATACGTAATGAATCTGAACCAGAAAGTCTGCGCTGCAGTTTGATGGAGCATTGGTTGTATCCCAATTCAGGGTCTGCAGCCTTAAAGGCCGCATTTCAAGGCCGATTACGTCACAGCGGCGCGCCGAAGGCTCTCCCAATTTAAAGGCTGCTCGAAATGCGGCCCTGAAATGAGTCCTTCATTTCCCTGGGGAAAAAAATAAAATAAAATAATTCCCCTGAATTCTAAGGATGTGGCAGTGTAGACTTTGTGGCCCAACATATCCCAGAATGCATAGCGCGGCGGTGGGTGTGGATAATTTCGCCGAAAAAAACAAAAAACAAAACGGTGGATGAGGGGCGGCCGAAGAGTAAACTTTAAGTAAGTGCTGAATATTATGTCACTTATTTATGTGCAAATGTTTAATAACGAAGAACATTAAACATTCCTGTTGGCCACATGTCAGCAAAGTCATGTGACATTAGTGACGTTTGTACTAACTTGGTTTTAAAGCCTTTACTTTAAAATATACGCCGTTCAATAGCTGAGCTTAATCTTACAGAGAATGATCAAAGCTCATGTAGCAACAAACAAATGAACAAAAGATTTTCTCCTTCATTTCTGTCAAACACAGCTGTATGACACAGCTGTATGGCTAGGCAGCGCCTGTATCACCTACGACAACTGAGGAAGTTCAAGGTCTCTCCAAAGATCCTCAGGATTTTCTATACAGGCGCTGTGGAGAGCATCCTCACACAGAACATGACATCGTGGTTTGGGAACAGCTGTGTGAAGGACCAAAAAGCTCTCCAGAGAGTGATCCGTACAGCAGAACGCTGCTGCAGGATTGCTCTCCCCCCGCTTCAGGACACCTACACCAGGAGATGCCGGACTAGAGCAGCGCAGATACTGAAGGACCCGTCCCATCCTGGCAACAAACTGTTCCAACTTCTGCAATCTGGTAGAAGGTTCTGCATCTTCCGGGCAAGGACAGAGAGACTCAAGAGGAGCTTCTATCCCCAAGCCATCCGTGCCCTAAACACACACACCCGCCCTCTCACATCATCTATAATTGACTGAGACAGGACTCTTCCAGACACTAAACCAAGGCACAATGTACATTTCAATTCCTTTAATTTTAAATGTTTATATTGTCTATCCTGTAAAATAGTCAGATGTCTATTCATATTAATGTACAGAATTCACCTGCTTGCTGCTACTACTGCACATTCACCCAGTGTATATACTATATATATATATATATATATATATATATATATATATATATATAAAATGTTCTTCCTCTACAACCCCCCCCCAATTTTTGCACATGTCGAGGAGCGTGTCAGGCTACATTTCACTGTGTTATACTTGTATAACTATGCATGTGACAAATAAAGAACCTTGAACCTTGAATGACACATTTCCAGCTGTTAGTATCATGGTTGCTAGGCAACCTGGGCAGCGCAACGGAGGCTAGACCGTCCCATTTCACAAGCCTCGCACTTCCGGCCTTAGCGGTCTTTGAGTACGCGGCCCTTGAGGATCGTTGAGGCTGCAGACCCTGAATTGGGATACAGCCAATGTTTGACTTCGACAATACCGACACGTTCCTACAACACATGAAAGCTCTTTGCTTCAAACATCCGAGAGCATGCAGAGCAAAACTGTCTGGACCCAGCCTTTGTGGTAGTTAGGTGTAATACAGAGAACCAAAAGTGCCCAATAAAAATAAAATAATTTTTGCAGAGAAAGAAAATAAACATTTCATATTTAACAGATTCATTGCAGCAATTTATTTTTATGTTAACTTTGAGTGGAAATAATGGTGTTATTTCTTTCTTTTGTCTCATTTTTACACTTTTGGTTCTCTATACCCTGAAGTACTTCAAAAGAAGTTTTTAAAATTTGTGTTTAAAGACTTTTAAATCTTAAATATCCGTATCCGGAACAGAATTTTCAAAAGAACTCAAAAAGTGAGACGTCAGCAGAAAATCTAGAACAGCTGAAATCTGAAAACATTAATAAAAACATCGCCCCCTGGTGGTGAACAGTTCAGTCTGATTAAAACAAATCTTAAATATTCACGAAACAATTTAATAAGAAAGGAAATGACAACAAAGCAGCGTTTCTGTTTTTATTTCTCCAAAATTATTTGATTACGTTTCTGTACATCTCATTTTTCCAACGCTCCTGAAACACAACCTGAACATTTTCACTTCGCCCTCCTGTGACATACACACACCCTTCATCCTGCTCTGCACACAGACAGCACTCGACTCTGCCTCCTCCTCTTCCTCCTCCTCATTACGCCGATGGCCTTGAATGCTCCTGGGGATTTTCTTTTTTCCCCCCTTTTTCCTTGAAAGTTTAAAGTTGTAGGAGGAAATGTGAGGAATTGAACAGAAACATTTTGTTTGCCATCGACTCTTGAAATCGGTAACTTTGCGCTTTCAAACAGAGTGAACCTTCAGTTTTTAAATGTCAAACTGTCCTTGAACACAGCACAGAGCAGTCTGAGAAAATAAAATAAAAAGTAGAAAAAGTGAAAAATGTGGAGCTGAAACAGTAAATTGATTAAGATTGAAACTTTTGCTGCTAAAGACATCTTTTTTCTAGTTCCAAAAATTTGTTTTATACGACTTTAAATGTAATTCATTTGTGTTTTTAGGACTTTTGCTGTAATTTAGCACATAAAAACTTTATGGGAAAGAACAACCAGCAGAAGAACGATGTCATTTTATAATAATATAAATTTTAAAGAAATTTCCTTTGTGAACATCTTTCCTCTTAAAGGAGACGAGATACTTAAAAATGTCAGAAGATCCAACATGGCAATCCAACTTTGTCCAATAAATTTCCAATCAAACCGTTCGATTGACCGCTTTCAGCTCCTAATATAAAGACGTCACATTTAAAAAGCATTTTAAATGTTTTGTTGACCAGAACATGAAAACATCTCAGTAACTGTCGCTAAGAATAGCAAACATGAACACGTCCTATAAATTGTGACCACGTGACAATACACAGAAATCCTGCAGTCAGTAAACTGCTCACGGCTGTAAACGTAGATGAAGATCTGGACTCTTCCTCAGTCTGCAGCTTTAATTGGCAAAATAACACTTGAGGAATGGTTAGCATTTCACAATAAATGCTATTAAAAAAAAACAAAAAAACAAAGTTGGCAAAATGAAGTTTTTTTTTGTTTTGTTTCTTTTTGGGAGGAAGGAGGAGGAGGAGCACTCAGTCCACATTGCCCCACCCCGCCCCACCAATCATCTTCCTCAGCACAGCGTCTCGTGTTTTTTAAGTCCAGCATGTCCTGCAGACAGCTTTCCACTGAGCGTGACGTTAAGTTTGTCCCTTCCTGCTTGCACTCACTGTCCCGTCAACATTTGCACAAAGTGAAGGAAAATGAAAAAAAGCCAAGAAATGTTTGTTTTTCCTCTTTAGTCCACCTGAACATTCGTCTCCTTTCAGTGCAAATGAGGTAGACGTGACAAAAAGATGATCTTCTACCCATTCGGACTGTGCAAAATGAAACAGAGGTGTTTGTCTGGAAAACACACAGAGTGGAATTCCTGTACGGAGGCCCAAAGATGCCAATATTCATCTCAAACGCATATAATTTGAAGTTTAGCCAAACAAACTTGAAACTCTTTAAAATCTTAAAATGTAACTCATTAACACCAAATGGGTTTTTTTGTTTAGAAAGAAAAATGGAGTGACTGAAAGGTCGTTTTAACAGAAGTCTCTTTTTGGCTCTCATCTAATTTAAAAGTTTTTAAAATCTCAAATATAAAAACCAATAAATAAAAAAAATGTATAACATTAGAACTAAAGGGAGGCAAAACAAAGGATGACAGAGGTGAGTTGCTGATGTCTGATTAATTAATTGGTTCAGTTACTTTGGGGAAAATACTGTGAAGAAATTAAAAACAAAATGTAGAAGTGGTTTTACTCTAACTTTGAAATAAAATTATAATTTCCGCTCTGAAGTCCACTGCCAGCTCAAAACACACAAAACTGGAATTCTTTAGGGAATAAATGTGAATCTTTATTTAAAAATCTAAAAATAAATAAATAAAATTCTTAGTGTTAACCTGCCTTTAGTTATTAAAGAATGTATTAATAATAGGTTGACGTTTTAAAACCTGCTTATGCTAATAAACACTATTATTCTTTTTTTTTTTTTCTTTTTTTCAAAAGCCTAATATTGGACACCTTTGGGCTTCCGTATTTGGAGGTGTTCTTGCAGATGTTACAGTGTTTTTGGGAAAGTCTTTCGCACCATAAAGACGATGTGTAAAACAAAAAAATGATAAAGTTATGGCACCAAAACGTAGTGAAAGATCTGGAAATATGTCCATACGTCATGTGATAATACTGGCTCAAAACAAACGAAAGCAAACAAAACAAAAAAACCCTGCAGCCCTGCCCAGAACTGGAGACTCCCACCCTGAGACCTCGACAGGAATGCTGGGAAAGGTAGTCCTTTTGTCCTCCTTAGAAACGTGAATATTATTTATAACTCTATCACAGTAACATTGCGCTTATTCCCCACCTAGTGGTCAAAATTGGCAATCCACATTTAAAAATTAGCGTACAACATAAATATTCCAGCTGCAGTAGAGGTAATAATAATGATGGCGTCTATTCGTCTACAAATCAAGTCACGTGACAAAATAGTCATCATTATTACTCTAACACAGCCTCAGAGTTATTAGTGCTTCTATGTACAAGTCAAGAGTTTTGGACAGTGAACAATCGTCAGTTTACCTGCTACCTGTACACAGGTATCTTACATTTATAAGCATTTATATAAATAGGTAGTGTGCATGTTTATTCATACAAACGCCGCCTGTACACGAGCTCCATGCACCGCACTACTCTGTGACACACATGTACACCTTATCTACAGATGCAGAGTGTGGGGGTGGGGGGGTCAGATGTGGGGTTAGCGGTCGGCAAACACACACACACACAAACACACACACACACTTTCAGCTCTAAAACTCTGCGGCAGCGTCACTTTGAAGGAACGAGTCGCCCAACATCGAGCTCTCAGATTAAGCACAGGCAGGTTAGCCTAGCTTAGCATTACAACAGGAGAATGACGGCAGGTAAACACACCTTTAAGTTACATTTACCTGCAGAGTAAAGGCGCAAACAACTGACCAGAAGCTAAATTCTGCGCGGCGTGCTGAGAGTACGAACGTGGCACAGATCGTCCACAGGCAGCGGACTATCCTCCTGACGCCTGCTGGAGTTATCGTTCGGAAACGGGTGTCATCTAAAACCAGCACGCATGAGCAGACGTTAGCGATGACGGGAACTAAAATAAAACGTGCTCTTTCAGTCTGCTCGCTGACCACTCACAGCGCCCCCTGCTGACCAGTAGATCATTCCCGTACGATGGGATCAACAGGAAGTAGAACATCTGCCTCAGAGACAAGTGTAAACTTCACTACGCAGAGATCTCGTAAACTTGGTTGTTTGAACACAAGAAAAACAAAGATGGAGGGGCTTCCTGTACGGAGTGCGCTGACGCCGAGGCGACTCGCGGCGACATGAGCGTGTTCCTTTAAGTGGCTTGGAGGGCAGTGGTAGGTTGGTCTCGGGTCAACAGAAAGATGGCAGTGTTTGTTTTTATTGTCGTGTACAGAATCTTAGCACTACAAATAAAAGTTGATTTTAAGAAATCTTCCCTCGGTCGCCGCCTGTACACCGCCGCCTTCAAGCCCCGCCCCCCGCCCTGAATGTTTGAAACACTTAGGAACCAGAAACGGCGTCTACAGTTCAGTTATGTACATAGTTACAGTGGTTTTTAAAGCACTGCGAGCCGAGTGGAAGCTCCACAGCCGTCGCTCTGTCTCGGTCGACGTGTTGGCGCCGTGGTAGCTGGACGTGTTGTTGGCTGATTGGATCGCTGCCCCCGTGCAGCTGCAGTGACTGCGTATAAAGGGCACGTTCAAAATTGATTTTTTAAAACTTGTGACATGTTTGTTTTTAGGATTGAAGCGCTGAAGACCGAAAAGGTCAAAATGGCGCCGTTCTGCTTCTGTGTCCCCTGAGAGAAGCAGGACGGCGCCCCCAGACTAAGACTGGCGCCGGATTCACGAGTAGGAGAGGTGAGAGCCGTTGGAGATGTGCGAGGTGACCGATGTGCTCCGGGTTAACCCGCCGTCGCTCCCCCCGCCGCCTGGCCCCCCGGAGGCTGTCCGCCTCAGCGGCTGAGGGCTGTTCCTGAGCGCCATCAGGCTGGGGCCCCTTACACTCAGACCGCCGCCGCCGTAGCCGCCCTGTGAGGAAGAGGACGAGGAGGTGGAGGAGGGAGGGGAGGAGGTGGAGAGGGCGATGGGAGGAGGCGGAGGTGGCGGAGGCAGGAGGGCCAGGGACTGCGAGGAGGCGTGGGAGGAGAGGTGGTGGACCTGGGAGTGATGGGCGTAGTGTCCGCCTCCTCCCACCCATTCCCTGGAGCGGTCCCGCTCCCTGGAGTCGCGCTCGTGGGCATCGCGGTAGAGCTGCGGCGTGCTCTGGTGGTGTTGGTAGTGTTGGGGGAGGTAGTGCTGCTGGTGATGGGAGGAGGAGTGGCCTCGGCTCTTGCTCATCTCGCCATCCCTGCCAAGGACGTGGGACGAGGCGATGGACTCGGCGCGGCTGAAGCCTCCACCGCCGTGATTCTGGCTGCGCCAGGATGGAGTCGTCACAGAGTTCTGCACGCTGTGGCTCCAATGGCTGCCGGAGCGCGGTACGGGCCGCGACGGCCAGCCGCCGGAGCCCGAGGACGGGCTGGGGGTCGGGTAGCCCTGGTTGAAAGCCTCTGCCGGGATGCCGGTCAGCGCCATGTTGCTGAAGCCCAGACGCATGCTCTCCGAGTCGAAGGCCTCAATCTCGTGAGCCTGGCGCTCGAGCAGCGTCCGGATTCGCTCGGAGCGCTCGTTCTGCAGAGTCAGCATCTCCTCCTCGATCTGTTGGACAAAAACGCGGCGGTTAGCTCGACCGGGACGCGGCCCGCGCGCTTTCACAAGCTTCGACTGTCAGAGTGAAGTCGGCCTCACCCTCTGCTCCAGCAGCGCCCGGCGGATCGACACCCTCTGCTCCAGGTCCTTCACCTCGCGCTCGTGCTGCGTGTCCGTGTGGATCTTGATCTTGCTCTGGTAGGCGTTCAGCAGCTCGAGCTCCTGCTGCAGCTGCATGCGGAGCACCTGATACTCGGCCTCCTGCGTCTCATCCAGCCGCAGCTGTGGGATCAAAACAGAGCCTCGCTATCAGCAACAAAGTCAAGCAGGTGAAAAACAAGTGTTTGTGCTGCATGTGCGCGTTTCTTTCATGTCTGGTTTTTCATTTTAGAAAATAAAAATCATTCAGCTGAAAACTACAGACAGGAAATGACTCTTCATCCTGAAGACGAAGGTTTCAGTCGATCTGACACAAAATTCAGACGCTTTCAACTGTAAGTATCAGCTGATGTCCACATGTGCGTCACATGTATCGGTGCACACAGACCAAAGGTGTGACTTTTATGATGAGATAATGAGCTTGTTAATAAAATCAAACATTAAATCATAAGTTCAGCCCTGAAATATTACTTAATGCCTCCATGTTTACATATATTTAATAAACATGCCATATTTGAGCTTCTCTAATCTAAAGCTGCTCTGACTTGAGATATTTTTGGCTGAAAGAAATTACATTTAAAATCAGTTGTCTGGATAATTTAGAATGTGAATAACATTCGTTCAGGATTTCATAAACATTTCTCCTCAGCTGGTTTATTTCCTTTAAACCGAGCTGAGCTGCAGCGCTCAGGGCTCTGTACTACGAAGCAAGTTCAACATATCCAGGATATTTTACTCCAATCTGGCGTCCTTTAAATCTGGCAATCAAGCTTTAACAGTCCAGCTGTGAGCACGTTCACATGGGAGAGGCGGGGTTTGCAGCACGTGACCAATCAGAAACATGGAAAGCTGATCATTCAAAGGAAGATAAAAAGGGGGGAAAAAAATCAGGTGGTTAAACAGAGTGAAGGTAAGAACTGCTGCAGAGGGAGCAGGGGGGGCTCTGCAGGAAGCTGGAAGAGCCGCTGTATTAGTAAAGCTCATCTGAAGCATGATTTCACAACCTCCCTAAAGCAGGTTAGAGCTGCAGCTCAAGTTGCCATGGCGATGTAAGAAGAGAAAGCCTCTGTGTATACCCGGGCTGATCAGCCAGGGCTCATCCTGAAGTTACCTGGATAAGACCAAATCCTGCCTTGTAGTACAGGCCTCTGGTTCTAAGGTGCAGGTTGTCAGGTGTGCAGGTGCTGAAGTGTGGGAGGTTGTCAGGTGTGCGGGGTTTCAGGTGTGGGTGGTTGTCAGGTGTGCAGGTGCACGGAGGTTTCCTTGCCTTACTCACAGCCTGAGAGGACAGCATTTCGTTGATGGAGTGGTCGTACTGCTCGGCCAGGATGGCCAGCTTACGTGTTTGCTCCTCTTTGAGGCGTTTGAGGACGGCCTTGTGGTCGGACTTTGGAGTGCTCTCCAGCAGGTGGTTCCTCAGAGCTTTGTACTGACGGGTCTGGATCTTGCAGGTCTCCTGGAACTGACGCTTGACCTGCAGCTCTTTGGACTGAAACAGAAGGAAACGTGTCGAGTTCATGTAAACTGCTTTTACACAAATAAAAGCATTACGAGTTCTTCTGATCAGTGAAGAGGTCAAAGTTCTTTAAAGTATCTGCCACATTCTTCCCCTTTTCCCCCAAAGTTCTGCTGATATTGGAAAATTTATGTAGTTTGACTAAATTACATAAACATTTCCCAAATTGGCATAGGGATAGCTCAGTGGGTAGAGTGGGCGCCCCATGATCAGAAGGTTGGGGGTTCAAATCCTGCTACCCTGAGGTACCCCTGAGCAAGGTACCATCCCTAAACACAGCTTTTATAAACTGCAGGAAAAACTGAAATAAATATTGTTGTCCATCCATCCATCCATTCGCTTCCGCTTATCCTTTTCAGGGTCGCGGGGGGCGCTGGAGCCTATCCCAGCTGTCATAGGGCGAGAGGCGGGGTACACCCTGGACAGGTCGCCAGTCTGTCGCAGGGTCAACACACAGGGACAGACAACCATTCACACTCACATTCACTCGCACATTCACACCTAGTGGCCATTTGGATTATCCAATTAACCTATCCCCACAAGCTGCATGTCTTTGGACGGTGGGAGGAAGCCGGAGGACCCGGAGGGAACCCACGCAAACACGGGGAGAACATGCAAACTCCACACAGAAAGATGGTGATGATGGTGGAATTGAACTCTGGACCTTCTTGCTGTGCGGCAACAGTGCTAACCACCGTGCCACCATGCTGCCCGTTGTCAATTCGCAAAAAAACAGCATCACAATTAAGCCTCCCATAAACTATACAGAAAGGCACAAAGTCAAACAGGACTACCAACAGCACTGGATTATAATGTTTTTATTGTTGCAAGTGCTTTTTACACGATTTTTGCAAAAACAAACGGCGAGCTGGGACGAGCTGAATGCACGTTAAGAACGCAACTCCTCCAGTTTCACATGCAAAACAAATTATTGCGCTAGCTTCTGTGGTTGCATTTCTACTGGGATTTAAAAATAGTAACGGAAACCAGGTGGTGCTGTGATCCTCCTGAGGTACCTTGAGACTCTTGGGCTGCTGCCGGACCTCCATGGCGTGCTTCTGCCGAAGCTCCTGCTCACGCCGCTTGTTGTACTCCATCTGATTGGTCAGCTCGGTCTGGTGCTGCGTTCGGATCAGCTCGGCCCGGGTGCGCTGCATCGTGCCCAGCTGCCTGAACTCGAGCTCCTGGGTGGACTCGTGGTGCCGCAGCAGCATGGCGCACTCCAGGTCCTTCTGGGTCTGCTTCTTATTCAGCTCCTAAAGGACGGAGAAAAGCAGGAATCACAGCGAATCATGGCCGGAGAGAGCAGAGCAAAAACAAACGCAGCTGCTGTCCCACCTCTCTGAGCAGGTCCTGCTCCAGGTTGTGGCGAGCCAGCAGCATCTTCCTCTTGTACTGGCGGCACTGCAGCTCGTAGTACTGCCGCTGGCGCCGCAGCAGGCTGGCCTCCTCCTCCGCCTGCATCTGCTGCAGACACTCCTTCTGACGGACCAGCCACTCCTGCTTCTCTCGCTTCGGAGTCGACTGGTTCTCGCTCAGCTCCTGTTCAGAGTTCAGAGTTCAAGTCAGGTCAGGGCTGTGATCTCTTTATTTCATAATAATAATAATAATAATAATGGATTGGATTTATATAGCGCTTTTCAAGGCACCCAAAGCGCTTTACAATACCACTATTCATTCACTCTCACATTCACACACTGGTGGAGGCTACGGTTGTAGCCACAGCTGCCCTGGGGCAGACTGACAGAAGCGAGGCTGCCATATCGCGCCATCGGCCCCTCTGGCCAACACCAGTAGGCAAGTAGGGTAAAGTGTCTTGCCCAAGGACACAACGACCAGGACAGAGAGCCCAGGGATCGAACCGGCGACCTTCCGGAAGGTATCTGTAACCTTCCGGTTACAGATACGCTTCCCAACCCCCTGAGCCACGGTCGCCCATCACCAGTCAGCTCATTTATGTTCGTATCACAGATCGCTTCTGCTGCTTTATTCTGAAAATCCAGGTGCAGTCAGACGCCAGCTGTAACTCAGCTGCGCTGCCTTTTATTTTACATATTTTACTCTTTATTTAAACAGCTTCGTGTTTCAGCTCCTACAGGAACTTCTCCGTTTGTGGGAGAGATCCTGTTTGGTTTTGCTGTTTCACAGAAACCTTTAAATTACAGCCTGTCGGCACGCACGGCTCCTTTAGAGCAGCTACGTTCGGTTCAGCCTGCAGGGCACGCGCAGCTGACTGTGGAGGAACTCGCTCCGACCTCTTTCAGCTGCTCCTTGCGCTGGCGGTACTGGCGTTTCTGTGAGTCCAGTAAACTGGTGAGTTCCTTCTTCTGCTGGCCCAGGATGTGCTGCTGGAACTTCTTCTCCTCCGTCAGAGCAGCTTTCGTCTGCACGGGCACACAAACAGGATCCTTACGTTAAGAAATGAACTCATAACTCACATTAAGACAGAAAAAACTTTGATCTATGAAATGATGCAAAAACTGAATTTAAAGAATTCCTGTTAAAAACACTGAAACCTGTTTTCGCTTTTGGATTTTGAATTCATCAAATAAAAATACTCTACAAAAGATTATTATAGTAAAAACTGCACCTCCTTCTCCAGGATTGCCTGGTGCTTCTTGGCCAGCTTGTCGGCCTCTGTGGAGAACGTGTTCCTCTGGTTCTCCAGCTCTTTGTCCAGCTTCAGCTGATGCTCGTCCATCTCCGCCTTCAGCTTGTTTTCCAGGCTCATCAGCTGCTTCTGGTGCTGCCGCCTCATGCGCTTGTAGCCGGACATCTGCTCACGCAGCGCCGAGCCCTGCTCGTGCTCCTGGATCTGACGGGTCACCTGGAGGAAGGCGGTGGTGAGGTTCAAGGACTCAGCAGGTCAGCTCGAGTATCAAAAAAACGATCATTTTTAAGACTTTCTTGCTTAATTCACATGATTATTCACAACTTCACAAACGTGATGCACGTGTGAAGACATGAGCCCGTTTTTACTGAGAACTGTTAAAGACTAACAGGGAAGAAAGGTGGAGGTGGTGGAGACAAAAAGCTGCCTGTTAATCCATCGCTCTGTCTGCATCTCTGAGTGCAAACGGTGGCAAAAAGACCGGTCACTACTAGGGATGGGTACCGGTATCCGTTCTGACATAAACCGTGGTAACCAGACCGAAAAGCAGCGCACATTTTGGTGCTTTTTTTTCCTGAGCTGTGATACACTTTAGATTCTAGCCAATCATTTTACGTTTCCGAGGATAGTAGGCGGGGCCAGGTACGTACGTTCTTTTAGAGCAGAGCTACAGATTAAAAATGCCCAAGGTGAAGCGGTCAAAGTCTGGCTGTACTTCACAGCAAAATATGCAAACTCAGCAGCAACAAGTGCTTTAAGCTGATACTGTGATACTGTCAAAGGAGGTAACTCCTCGAATCTGATGAAACACCTGGCGACGCATAGCGTTTTTTTAAAAGCCGAGAAATGCGCCGTATTTGATAGCTTGCTGAGAGACCTCACACCGAGCGCATCTACTGCGGGTGTGGTGCCTGTTATCGACCCGGAGTTAGCAACATCCCCCAAAAACCCGAAGAGCAGAGTCCTGGCCCCTAGCCCTGCCAGTGTAGCAGAAATGATGAGGATGATGATGCAGCAGCAGCCGTTCTTCTCTGCATGAGTAGCTTAATGTTGTTCGTGTGTAATTTACGTTGAGTAGGCTAACCACGTTATTACATTAATGCATGTAAGGTGAACTAGCAAACACCGTGGTAGTTACATGCGGCTGTCTTCTTGTTTGGTGGCAGATACTCCCTTCACCCTGGCTAAAAAGGCTAAAATGACCAAAGAAAAAGAGGGAAACAGCTGAACATGAGAGGTTTAGGACAAAGTTTGTGTTTTTTCCATTGTTTAAGCACTGCTTCCAGCCAAGAGTGATACCATATATGCCCCATAGCTGCAGAAAAGGCTAACATTATCTTTTTACAAAAAAACAGCTGAACATGAGAGGTTTTTGGACAAAGTTTGTGTTCTCCATTCTTTAAGCACCGGCACCGTTTCAAAAGTACCGTTATCGGATAAAACCTAAACGATATCCATCCGTAGTCACTACTGTCTGTGGACAAACTGAGGTCATTTTACTCCACTACAGCTCCATTCATAGATATCTGTAGAACCTCCATCTCTATCTGTGACGGATCTTACCAAAGAGGCCGTGCGGATGGTGGCAAAGTGGTCACGGTTTCGATAGAAGGCTCGCCGGCGTCCAGCTGAAGGAGCCTGAGGCTGATCCATCTCTGGCTGGTACGGGTCATCGTAGATGTTGTCCTGACCCTGAGGAGGAGGAGGGAGAATCAGGATGGTGAATCCAGAGGAGGCGAGCTGGATGTCAGGTGAGCTTTAAGCCAAGCACTTACCGTGGGTCGGTGGATGATGGAGCTGTTGGAGGTGACCGTGTGCTCGCCCTCCTGCATCATGGCCATCTCGTTGCTGCTGTCGTCGGAGGCGTCGGCGAGGCTGTTGACCGAGCTGCTCTGAGAGCTGGCTGAGATGGACATACTGGGAACAGACTGGGAGCTCTCCATGCTGTTAACGGTGCCCGTCTGCAGCAGGTACGGCTCCACCTCCTGAAACACACAAAACAAAATCTTCTTTCACACATGAATCCTCATCAGGAGTCCCTCCCAGCCCGATCACATGACAAGACCTAAAGCTGAAACAGAGAGGGCGACAGCTCAGGCGGCCCGCCTTCGGCTTTCTCACTATTTTTGTGCACACAGTCAAGTTTCCAGTAACACTCCAACATTCCTGCTTAAAGCCAGTCAGAGGAAAATGTTCTGACGTTAGTTTCCTCCTTTTTTGGTATTTCAAGCCAAAAAAAGCACAAATCTCCTGATCTGTGCTCCTTCCTCACCTCCTCCTCCTCGCCTCCCTCGGTGACGGGGCCGTTCTGTTGGGTTTCCTGGAACAGGATCTTCTTCATCTTGCGGTACTGCAGGTTGTCGAGCTCCCTCACCGCATCCTTGGTTCGTGCGATCAGGTCCATGACGACGGTCAGCGGGCGCTCGTGGCACAAGAAGCGATGCTGCGGGAGGAGGGATAGAAATGACAGGTGAGCACACAGCAGGGCAGGTTTAAAAAAACTGTCCTGGATCAATAACGCTCACATTGAGAAGCACGTCCGAGGTAGGCCGGTCCTGGGGAATCTTCTGTAGGCAAGAGTCGACAAAACTGCGGAAGGAATCGGACCTGAAACAAAAACACAACATCAGTTCACTGCAGTGTCTCCGAAGTGGACAGAGGGATACACGGCGCCGCAGGAAAACATGGAGGCTGCTCACCAGTGATTGGACTGCAGGACGGGGCTTTCATTCTGAGCGATGTGGTATAAGGCACTCATAGCATTCATGTTGAACAGGGGGGGTTTCCTCTCCGCTGCAGAAGAACGACAGTTAGCATCACAGAGCCCCAGGCTCACAGTTTAAGAGCACAGACAGCAGCTCATACCCAGCTCTATGCAGGTGATGCCCAGGGACCAGACGTCCACCTTCCCGTCGTACTGGCCCTCGTCCATGGCCAAGATCACCTCCGGAGCCATCCTGGAGAAGACAGAGAGAATGGGCCGAGTCATCCGCTGCTGCGCCGCACGACGTGCAAAATGTGTTTCAGCGAAACAACAAAAAAAGCTGCACTACGAGAAAAAAACTCAGATGTTGTCCACTTATTTTATTATTCTGGGGTTAAAACTGAACATCTGCAGACAAATAAAGCTACACTGAAGCTGTTTAATCAACAGCTGGTAAAAGTAAAATCTCAGAGGGCAGCGCTGATGATCCTGAATATGACCTTTCAGCTAATATTAGGCTAATTTTGCTGTTGAAAAGAGACTTTGAACAGATCCTGGGTACAAATTCAAGAAGCTTTCAAATGTAAACGAAGGAGATCTCATCTGTGGTCCGGTCCTATTCACGCTCTGATTGGTCGTTGGTGTTGTCTGTTCAAAACATGGACTGAACGAGCTCCATCGATGCTCACCAGTATGGCGTCCCCACGAAGGAGTTGGCCGGCGACACGATGGAGGCGGAGCCAAAGTCCCCCAGTTTGACCTGACCCGGCTCCGTCAGCAGGATGTTTCCTGCCTTCACGTCCCTGCAGGAGAGAGGAGAGTGTGACCCCTGCTGGCGGTGGGCTCTAACTGCATCTACTCCACACGTCTGTGCGTTTGCAGGTCTTCTTGGTTTAAAGGAGCTGACGGACAAACAGATCTTACCTGTGAATCATATTGTGAGAGTGAAGATATGCCAACCCCTGCAGTGCACCGTGGGTAATAGCAGCTATTTCTACTTCCTGGAGCGGCTTTTTGTGAACTGCAAGGAGAAAGAAGAGTTTATTCATCAGAAAAACCAGAAACACAAGAACGACGAATAAAAACGGGTGAAGTGTTTGCAGCACTGCACGAACCTTCAAGGAGGTCTGAGGCCGAGCCGAGGCAATACTCCATCACCAGCTGAGGAGGAAACGACAGCGATTACACATCATCAGTGAAGGAGCTCACACAGCCGACCTAACATGATGAACTCCTCCACCTCTATGTGTCACAGCTCGGCTGAGACGTCTCCATTTCAATGTTTTTCCACTGTGAGGTGATGTCACCGAATAACAGTTCAGTTACTAAACACTTGTTCCTAATAAAATGACATTTCCCCCCCTATAATAACCAACAGGAGACAGACTATGGGCAATTTAGAGTTACCACTTAACCTAACCCCAATAACTGCGTGTTTTTGGACTGTGGGAAGAAGCCGTTGTACCTGGAGTGAACCCACACAATCATTGGGAGAGCATGCAAACTCTACAAAGACCCCGGCCTGATAGAGGAATGAACTCAGGACCTTCTTGCTGTGATTCAACAATGCTAACCACTGTGCTGGCCCTAGGTAAAACACCTCCCCGTTAACCACGCGTTACAGGACGTACCCATGCCGTGTGCTCCTTCAGGTAGCAGCCCAGGTACTCGATGGTGTTGGGGTGGCGAAGCTTCTGCAGGAACTTCACCTCTTTGATGATGTCCTGCCATTTCTGCACAGCAACAGAAAAACACTCAGCTCTTCTTTCTAAAGTGTCTCACAGCACATTTAAAATGTAAAGAAGTTCGAAAGAATTTAAATCTGTAAAATAATTTTTCTGGCACACAAAATCCCAAAATTAGCTGCTTAACATCAGTGCAACTGTTTCCTATCAGAGCACGAGCAGACGAGGGCAGGCAGATCTTCAAATCTACGATCGTTGCGCTCGTTACCTCGTTGGTCTGCTTGCCGCTGTACGACATCTTTTTGATGGCCACCACTTCATTGTTGCTGACATCTCGGGCCTGTTGGACGACACAAACACAATCAGCCCTCAGTACATTTCAGTTCTGTTTCAGGAATCGAACCCGCGATCTGCAAGCCTGCCCTCACAGGCATGCATCCACCGAGACTGTGCTGATGAGGAGCCAGTTCTTATTGTGCAACTACACCAGAGGGTGGAGTAATCTCTGTGTGAGAAAAGTAATGGCTCGGGCCCAGGAACGTTACGCTGCTGTGGTGACAGGTAGTTGGCATGGCGCCGCGCTTGACTTTGATGGAAAGGAGTGGAACCGGTTTTCGATTGGGGACTGCGTCAGGATGTGTGAGCAACCGGTTTGTCCCCTCTGACAAACTGCCGGCGAAACAACTTCATAGATTTATTTAAAAAGGTTTCTAATGAGCAACATTTAAAGAGAGAAAAATATTATTTATCTCTCTCTCTCTCTAGATCTATATCTCTATATATCTCTATATATCTCTATCTATATCTATATTCATGAATTATAATCAAGCTGAACCAGTGAACAGAGAAAGATTTCTCTCAGACGGTTGGATAATAAAAGGTTTCAATCCGACCTCCTGACTTTACTGTGAAAGGATTAGCTTCTTATTCCAGTCTTTAGACTCATCCAGCATGCTGCTGTTCTCTGGAAGGAGGTGGAGACTGCAGTAAGTAAACTGTGCCCACTTCGTTATTTTTAAAGTAATGTTTGGTTTAGGAGACAATAGAGTAAGCTTTCTTCCTCTTCCTGTTTATTTAAGACTGATGTATTTATGCTTCTAGGTAACTGTGTCATGTTTGATTTCACCTCTGACAGAATCCATCAGAACAGAAAAGGAAAGTGTTTTCTTTGTGCTCGTCTTCGTTTGCATTTAAAACAACGAAATTGTGGAAACGTGACCTGGTGCACAGGAAATGCACTCCCTGGAGAAACCGGCTTCGTCTAATCCCCAGTCCTGATTACAAACGTTCCTTCGCTTCTCGTCTGCTTTGCGTTCAGGAAAAATCAGCTTACTGTGAAAGCCGACAGTAACCGGGTCACGCGTGTGTAAATGACACGACTCGCTTTGTTACAGGATTTTCTTTTAGAATAACATCTAAAGACACGAAGGGGAAAGAAATAAGAGGTTTACTTCTGTAACCGAGTCTGCTCCATTTACTCGGCACAATTAGTCTGTTGGAAAAACGTTTCTTTACATCAGTTTTCCTTTCCTCTTTTTCCCCTCGGACTCAGTGTGCAGGTTAATTTTAGGACCACTCGGTGGAGCCAAACGATGGACAAGCCCTGCTCGGTGAGGCGAGAACAGAGCTGGACACAATGATCCATTAGTCATCCAAACTACATGATTTATTTTTGAATCACATACTCGATGTTCTCACAGCTGTTCAAAGTGTTGGATCCTGATCCTGAGAGAGGACGCTGCTTACAGGCGCCAGATGAAGTCGTTCTGCATTCTCACAGTACTGATAAGACCCTGTGATGCAACAGCATCACCTCTGCTGTCAAGAAGACCTGAAATGAGCATTAAAATACAAAAAACTAACATCTTTGGAGTCCCAATACAGCAGCATTGTATGATTTACTGCTCATCATAATTTTCCTTTATCTTATACTGAGCCTTGGAGCAGCCCATCAGTTCACCCTCGACACAAACAGGAGGTTTAAAAGCAGCTAGGTTGTTGTTTTGGTTTTTTTTGGAGGGGGGGGGCAGAGATCTCAGTCATGTCATCAGTGGAAGCCAAAATCCTAACCGATAGAATTGTGACTCAATGGGGGACAATGTGTGACGCAGCACATAAAAAGCCAGACAAACACCCCAGAACAGCCGAGCAGCGATCAAACCAATAATAACTGTTAGTTATTGTCACCGTCTGCTAACATCGCTCTCAACTACAGCTGAAAGATGTTGTTTATTGAACGATTTCTGATCCATAACCTGCAAATAAACAGCCACGGCCAGCAAACGTCTCAGCAGGTTTTTCATGAACAAACAGAAATAAACTTTTTCACCGTTAGCTGTGGCGATAACGCTGCATAGTCGAGCAACAGTTTCGTACAAAGTGCAGCTTTTAATCAATTATCGTTCCTTAATATACTGCTAATAGGAGGGCTGGGTATCGCCACTGATTTCTAGAATCGATTCAATTCACGATTCGAATCGGGAAAATTTTGCCTCTGTCAGAAATATTATAATTCTGAGCATGCATCAGTACATTTCCATATTTTTATATCTATAAAAAGAAAGCTGACACTTGTGAGACTTTATCAAAGGTGTGAGCGTCACAGCAGAGGCCTTTGTGTCAAGGCAGCTGAGGATAAAACAGAAAAACATGAAGCAGATTTTCCTGTTCTGGGATTTTATAACAGATAACCTTAAAAACATTCTGCAGTAGATCAAAAACAAAAGAAAGTCATTAATCAACACATGAATGTTACCTGACGGAACAACTGATGGACAAAGTGTGGACTTTATACCAGTTTTTAAACTGTGTTGATCGGCCACGTAAAACCAGACTTATGATAAAATATCTGCAATGTTTGTTTTTGTTCCTGAATACTGTCGTTGTTTATATTTACTGCGGGAAGAAACGGTAAAAACGGCGTTTTATAAGGAAAACGCTGGAAAGCCTGTGAGCAAAACCAAAACCACGCGGACCCGCCGACAGATCAGAGTCAGCGAGCTGTCGGCTTTCAGCCCCGACCGTGTCCGTGCCGTCGCTGAGAAAGTCACAGCTCACTGATCCTGATGCGTCGGCGGGTCGAGCTTTGTGTTTACGTCTCTGTGCAGGAGCCTGTTCCTGCTCTCAGTTACTGTTTTAAATGTTCGGTGGTTGTTGAAATTTTGTGAGGTTTCACCGGAGATTCTGGCGTTTCTGGCAAAATAAAATTATATTTAAAAATCGATTCAGGATTTGAATGAATCGATTTTACGTTATTCAAGCCAGAATCAATTATAATCGATAATTAAAACCCAGCCCTAGCTAATAGGGTTTTTTTTAATCAATATCAAGTTTTCACAAAACCTTTAATTTACGGTTATTATTTATTTCACTGCTTAGAAATCGTGACTACTAATTAGAAGCTCTTAGTTGCCACCTCCCTCAGTTTAAGGCAGCTTTCTTTTGATTGGCAGCTCTTCAGCTGAAGGTCTGAAGAGTGAGTGGGCGGGGCTTCTGTGCCTGGGATGGTCGCATATAGGGGCTCAACTTTGACCTCACACAGACCCAAAAGAATAAAACAAACAAACAAAACAGCTTGAGGGTCACCTCTCAGGGATTACTGTACACGCACCGCCCTCGCTACTTCAACACGAACATCCACCGCTGGAACAGGAGACAAGACAGGAAACGCAAACACTTGAAGCTGTTGTGAGCGACAGTTTCAGAGACGCTGAGGGGCGCCACGTGTGAAACGTTCTTTTTTTATCTGATGCAAATTGCTGCGCAGCGTCTATTTCTGCAGCTCTTCTCTAATGGCCTTTCAAGGCTCCTCTGAAACTCAGACATGCAGTGTGGAGGTGTGAGTCTACCACTCAGCCTCAAGAATATTTTACAGGTGAAATGAGATGCAGAGGCGCGGCGCACACACTCGTCGTGTTCCCACTGTTTTCTAATAAGCTGGGGGACATTTTCAGATTCACACTCTCTTTATTAATGACAGATAAGAGTGATTTTAAAGAGAAACCCACACAGATCCACGCGGTGGACAGCTCGGCGAGTACATCCAAGAGACACTCTGACAACAATCCAAACTATTTGATTTGGGTTAAGATAAGCCCAGCGTGCAGAACGCCGTGCTGCTGTATGTCTGCACCTATACAAACATGTGCAGATGCAAGCTTCACGTCTGCTCTGGTCCCACACTTCTAAACTGGTTCACAGCCATCAGTCACCGACTGCTGGAAAAACGTGATGATTCGCCGTCTAGCCGCAGAGCTTCCTTGTACTAAGAATAGCTTCAAGAACATTTTCTAAGAATTTCCCCTTAAAGTCAGAAGTAAATCCCGGCAGAGATAAAACTTTTTCATAAAACATGCTCAGCCTTTAAAAGAGCTTTGAAGCTGAAGTGTTTGAAGCAGAGAGGAGCAGTTAAGAGGTTTAGGAGTTTCTTAAGGACAGGAGGACGTGGTGGAACGATGCTCGTAGGTCACACAACCCCATGTGTTCACGTTCCAGAGGATCTGATCATTGCTACAATATGACGATCAAAACAGCCACTTAACTCGTGCACATCTTTGTTCTAGATGTAAGAAAACATGCTGCCTTGGAGCGCCACAGCACAGAAACAGGTTGCACCAATAGCCCGACTGAGGTTTCTGCATCAGGACCAAAAGCACATGTGGTCCTTAGCTAGTCCTGTATAAGACCTGAGGACCGACGACCTCACACTGACTCTGGAACACTCGGGTTTACAGACTGGCCGATATGGCCTGAAATCCATATTGCGGTATAAATTGAAGCATGTGCGGTAACGATATATATCGCGATACATTCTTTTCTTCTGTGTAATGAATTCTCCGCACTATAAGGCCACTTAAAATCCTTTAATTTTCTCACAAATGAACAGGGCGCCTAATGTATGAATTCTGGTTGTGCTTACTGACCTTGAACCGATTTACTGTGCTACACGGCGCTCAGAAAAATTTGTGGGTTTTTCCTTGTTTGTTTGTATTACTTGATCCCTAAAGTGTTCTCCAATGAGACGACAGCGACTCACAGCTCATTTAAGTTTGAGACCGCTGCTTTAGAGGCCCACACCTTTATTTTTGGTGGGTACTGTAGTTATGAAGGTGCAGAGTCCAAACAAGCTGTGGACTTTAGTAAATCCAGGAGCAGACAGGATCGGCACATGTGACTAACTTTCTCTGAGGGATCATTTAACATGTAAACAACTTCACCTGATGTCTTTGTTTTAAACTCACACCTGGAGAGAGAAGCTGCTCACACTGAACAACATTAAAACCAGAGAGTGAGTTTGTTACTGACACGGTCAAAAGCGGACGCACTTCCGATGTTACTCACAAAGTACACCGCTCCAAAGCTCCCGTGGCCGATCTCCCGGAGGTCGGTGAACAGCTTCTCCGGGTCATCTTTGCAGAACAGATCAGCCACCTCGGGGTCCTTCAGATTGCCCGCCCGCGCATTCGAGGGCATGGCCAGGGCCTGGAGGATGGAGAGAGTGCTCAGGTCAGTGCTGCAGATTGAAATCAGGGTGAAAACATGGAGGTCAGAGGTCAAAGCTTTTTCTTGTTAACTGGGGTTTTGGTCATAATCAGATTTTCTCAGATTTTCCCCTGGAGGCAAATAAATCTTTATGATCTGTGGATTCTGACCTCTGTTCAGACATTTACAGGTTTTTTTATTAGTTTTCTTATTAGCGTGAAACATAAATAAAATATAATTACCATTATACAAACAATCACATAGCTATGTCCACACATACATATTTATGTACCTAAATGAGTATATAAAGGAGGGGAAAGAGGTTTTCTAAGTATCAATGATTCGGATTCAAGTACTGGAAAAGCTGGATCAAAGTTTTGCTATATGTTGGCTGCCCCTTTAACTAAGACAGCGGGTGCCTGTGTTGCTTTTGCAGCATGTGATTTGCCCGTTTATACTTCAGCTGGGCTGAAAACCATCAAATTAATGTGCCAAACATGCTGGGAAATGCGTTCCTGCACTCTTGTAAAGTGACCCACTTCCAGTCTTCCCTCACAGAGACTCCATCAGCTTCCCTGATGTTCCCAGCCTGTGCTGCACATCTGTAACGCTGCGTATTGCACCAGGAATCCCACGACTGGCTGCTGCTGACGTTACCGTTCACAGTTAACATGGATCTGCACTTCAGCCGTCTATCTGGGAACCGGCTGACAAGTCGAGGCTTGTGAAGCGTTCCAGGGAAAATCGGGCTGTTTCACCGTGGGAGTGCCAAATACAAACAATGCAGGGAGGGAGAGTGACACGGACCCATGTGGGCGAGACAAAATGGCAGCTGCGTTTTCACAAAGTGCTCTTCACCATGAATGGGCTTCAATGAAGAACTGTTCGGCTCAGATCGCTTTAGTGACGGCAGCAGCGTGACGCGAAAGGCTGACAGCTTCCAAAATAAGGACACGCGCTCGTCCTTCAAATCCGCTCACCCAGTCCGAGCAGTCACGTTCAGCCTCTGTCTTCTTGTTTCTACGACGACAGCGCTGCTGAAAAACATCAGAGGAGATCCACTCGTACCAAAACTAACGATGCCGACGATGACCAGCCCGGCGCTTCGGTGCAGACGCTTCGAATGTTTGGCTGTCCAAAATGGATCAGGTGTTCATTTGATGCACTCTCGGTATGAACAGTGCCGTGTTCACCTCCTCCCGCTGATACACAACTTTAGAGCTCCTGCAGACAGGTATGCACAAGCTCCTCCCTCAGCAGGTGAGGAAATTCAAGTGCACAACAATGAACAACGCTTCGAGGAATTCCAAGAGATGGCGTTTCAAAAAACATAAATGTTAATCATTAAGAATAACCTGATACACAGACAGCAACGCGCCCGATACCTGCAGCTCCACCTACCGTGGCGACCACTCCCACCTCCTCTATGGGAAACAACAGCGCAGCCGTAAGTCGGCGGTTCTTCCCGTGTGTAACGTTAACACCGCGTTAATTTAACAGGATAAAAACTGAATTTATACAGCACCAAATCCCAGCGACTGTCACTGTCATACATGCGCTACCATTGTTAGGGGCGGGTTTTGATGATCGATTTATCGATTAAAATCGATTCTGGCTTGGATAACGTGATATCGATTCATTCAAATCCTGAATCGATTTTTTAATATCAATTTATTTTGCCCGAAATGCCAGAATCTCAGTTTCAACAACCACCAAAGATTAAAACAGTAACTGAGAGCAGGAACAGGCTTCTGCACAGAGACGTAAACACAAAGCTCGACCCGCCGAAGCATCAGGATCAGCGAGCTGTGACTTTCTCAGCGACGGCACGGACACGGTCGGGGCTGAAAGCCGACAGCTCGCTGACTGTCGGCGGGTCGAGCTTTGTGTTCACGCCCTTTTTGCGCTGATTCTGAAGCTGTTAGTTTTAACTCTCTCCAAACAACATTGACCGAACCAGCAGCAAAAGAAGATCCAAACTGCGCTTCACATAAACATCGTCATGAATTCACTCTGACTTTTGCTGTTTTGCTTCCACCAGGATAAAGTCACACTTCCTGCACAGCTCCCTCTCTCTCTCTGTTTCCCGTCTAAAAATCTGTTTTCTTTATTATTCGCTTGCTTGTTACGCACAAGTCTGCCGTTGTTTACAGGCTGTCGGACGCTGTTTGTTTCCTTTTACTTACCGTATTTCCCGGACTACAAAGCGCACCTGAATATTAGCCGCACAAGCTAAAATCAGGGGAAAATCCTGTTTTGTACATACATTAGCCGCACCTGACCAAAAGCCGCAGGTGTTTCAATGTTGACTTATCATATGTAAGAGAATATGCACAAAGCGAATTGTCAGGAAAGAGATGGCTGTTTGGAGACACACCCCTTTTATTAATATTTTGAAAAACAAGTTATGGGTACATATTTGCACATGTAGTACATAACAGTAGCCTACAGCACACCAGAAAAATAGATTCAGACTACCTTTTAGGCTCAGGTGCAGTGACACGGCTTTAACAAGAAGAAAAGTCAGTCATTCACCATCTTTCTCTTCTTCCTGCGCTCTAAAACCACCAAAGTCCTCTTCTCCAGTGTCAGATATGAACAGGCTCAGGATGGCTTCGTCATCCACTCTCCGCTTCTCCTTCGTTGTCACTTTCAAAACCAAAGAAATCCTTGTTGTCAGTGTCGGAGTCGAACACCCTCAGAAGGGCCGTGGCGGTGTCCTCCTCTCCATCATGCAGCAGTCCAGCCCTTCAAAATCCGTTGGTGATCGTGGATGTTTTTGCACTTTTCCACGCTGTCAGAATCCACCGGTGGAGTTGGGCATAACTTGCTTTTCGCAAGTTTATCGCCGCTCGTCATCCACGCCTCCCGCTGAATGCGTAGCGCTACTTTGAAGTTTGTTTTTCGCGCTACTTCGTACGGCACTACGTTGCCTGGCGGACGGACATGTGACTAACTAACATACCACTCTTGAACCCCGATCCTTCCGCCAGGCAACGTAGTGCCGTACAACAGCGGAACAAACAAAACAAATCGTCTTACGATATGACAAAAATCATGGAAAATCCATAGAAAAGCCGCACCTGACTAAAAGCCGCAGGGTTCAAAGCTTGTGCAAAAAGTAGCGGCTTATAGCCCGACAATTACGGTACTTCCGAAAAGAAAAACCTAATTTCTGTCGTTCAATACTGAACAAATTTAAACGTTTTAAAATTATACAAAATGCAAAACGCTGTGTCTGTAATAAAACCGCTGTAACTTCAGAGGTGATGTTCATGTGCTGATTAATGGTTTTCTTTCCTTTTTGATCGACTGCAGAATATTTTTATAAAATCCAGAACAGGAAAATCTGCTTCATGTTTTTCTGTTTTATCTTCAGCTGCTTTGACACAAAGGCCTCTGCTGTGACGCTCACACCTTTGATAAAGTCTTGCGTGTGTCAGCTTCCTTTTTATAGATACAAAAATATGTAAATGTGCTGATCTGAATTATAATATTTCTGACTGTCTGAGGCAAAATTTCCCAGATTTAAATCGAATTGAATTGAATAGATTCTAGAATTATAATTAACAATGTGCGCTGCTACGTCACACGACACATTTGTTTACGTCTGTTCTTCTTCTTCATTTAATTTCTCTGAGGTGTCTGAGGCTCCTAACATCCATTTGCGTTGCCTCGGCCACCGTGGTCGTTCCCTTTGCGTTGCTGGTTTGGAGAGGACGGGCTTGTAGCACGTTTGTAAAGTTTTTTTTTACTTTACACATAACTGCCACTCCCCTTAGCCTTAAGTTGCTGCATCAGTGTGCATTATTAACTGTAACGGAGAAACTCCGCACGCGTGCGTGTCGCCAACGAAGTAGGTCACAGTCATGGTGCTGCAGCTTCAGCAGAGACGATTGTGATGTTTATCTAACGCACTGCCTTCTAACAACAGCTCTGAATATGCGACTCTGATGGGCCTCACATTCAGTCAACAACCAGAAAACAATCTGATGATTAAAGGATGCGATTAATCGTTTCAAATACACATTAATATTTGTATGAAGGTATAAGCTTAGTGTTCAAGCTCAGTTTGGACCGATTTCTTCCTTCCCATTTAAATAATTCATAAACAGGTCATAAGGGAAGCCGTTACCACGTCTTAATGCAGACATAATGAAATGTAGATGTTTTAGCTTCTTGGCACAAATTTCTCCATCAAATTTTCCAACTCGACTCAAAGCTTTAAGCTATTTATAGCTGCAAGAACTGACAAATTCCAGCTCGAGCAGAAATAAGAAAATGAAAGGAACTCCTCAGTGATTCAAATCTACATTCTGCCATGAAAATGGGTCTGAGGGAGGAGCAGAATCATGACATGCATTTAATGAAATGCCTGGCACGTGTTTTGGCTGCTGTATGTGGAGATCAGTGTACGACTTCGCTGTTACGCTCCGACTCAAATCAACACCGATTTAAATAAATCCACAAAAATCCAAAGAGAGAGGCCGAATCATCAGAGCGGTGGATGTAATCTGAGGCTGCACACTGAGCCGTGCTTATTGACATCCTTCTGTAACGGGGTTAATGTGGCGCTCATCCTCTGAGCGTCAGCTGCAGCCCCGAGAAGAGTCGCCAGCTTAACCAGGCCTCTGCACGCCGGCCGCCGGATTCCCGTTTAACAACGCGCCCGCTCTGTGCCCGAGGTGGAGACAGATTCCCACCATCCTGCCCCCCTGACCTGAAAGCGCTTCTAAACACAGTGAAGCAATTTACAATTATGTATGGCGTGGCACTCGACAGCCTGCCGCTACAGTCAGAAGAAACACTACCCGTCTGAAAATATGACAGCAGAGGGGAAAGCAGCACCTTAATTTGCCTAAAACTTCACCGTGGTATCAAACTAGAGGCCTTTATCGTGTCAGTCAGCCTTCACTGCATATCTGAACACCCTTTGAAATTCTACTTTAATGCTTTTAAAGACCTAAACTGAAGACTGAGTTCCTTCAACATTACAACAACTGCACAATGGGTTTAAATCTCCACATAAGATCCAACAGTAATCATTACTGCTCTATTCTCTGCTTTACTGTTCAGCGCTACATAAGAAATCAATCACACGTTTAAAACAAAACTTAAATATGTCATTTTAGTCTCCGTTTACTGAACAACTGTAGATGTGTAGGAGCAATGTTGGAAGTATTTTGTAGCATTTCAATTTAAAATGAGACAACACTGATATCAGTAACAATATAGTGTTATTTCTCAAGTTTTTCCAGGCGAACCCGCCTGATAAACCAGATGCTGGTATTAAAGTATTTAAAAATCCACTTTGATAAATATTTGGTTGTGAATTTTGTGCATCTATTGGTTGGAAAACTAAGAAACATCAATGGTAATACCACGGTTAAAGGGTGTTCATTACTGCATGTGCATCATTTTATTCAGAGATTAGTTTATTGATTCTGGTTAGAACAGGGCGATATGGCCAGAAATATTTATCACGATATATATTTGAAAATTTGCGATAACGATATAACTGACGATATAATTGATGCGAGAGAAAATACAACTCCACAACTTTACTAGCGCAAAAAAAAAAAAAAAACCCCATCCATTTATTTTCACTTAAACAAGCTGCTGTTTTTATGTGCATTAAAGTTATATAAACATTTAACAGTGCAAATGCAAATTCCTTGATGAAAGTTAACCAAAGGCATCTCCAGTAGAAATGTGCCGACATATCCTGAGTTAACCATGTATAATATCCACTGAGGAGCTTTGCAGCATTAAACTGCAGTGTGCCAAATAAAAAAGTCAAATACGGACTTTTCCGACCATAAGGTGCACGGGAATATAATGCACATTAAGCATTTGTCTCTAACCATCAGGAACCTTCACGTTAACTTTTATCGAGTGGAAAAGTGTTAGTGTTCGTCCTCCAGCTTCACTGTTTATGTCATGCCAGTGGTTCCCAAACTTTTTTTGCTGGGCCCCCCTTGTTTTACAAGAAAAATGTTTGCGCCCCCTCCCCCTTCTCGCGCGTGCACGCGCTCACACATCCTCCAACCACACACACCCATATTTTGTCCCCCCACCCCACCCCTCCCCCGCAATGGCTCTGCGCCCCCCCCTAGGGGGCGGGCCAGACACTTTGGGAAGGTCTGTGTTATGCTAACATAGCTGTGTCGCTAGCGATCACGTAGCACATCATTATATAGCAGCTAGCCCAACTTCAGTAACCCTACAAACGTCACTGCTGTTTAGTTTCCTGTCTTCATTTATGTTGGAAGTGATAGCAGAGCTGTACGTTTGAATGCTTCATAAATCTCTCAGTCAGAACATGCTACATCATGTTTGGGTAACTAGCGAAGCTAGCAAGCTAACTTCCTGTTAACTTCTAACTCTGTTAAATGTAATGAATTCTGTTTTCATGGTTGCCTGGATGTTAAACTTCATAGTTACACCTGGTAAAGCAGCAACGCTGATCATTTTATTAAAGATGAAAGAATTTAGACAGTTTAACTCTCAGTGATGCTGCAGTGTTCGTTTGACTTTAGGACCCAGATTACTCCCAGATTTACGAGCACCTTAGTCCAACAAATACGGCAATAACGACGGCCGCTTGCATGTTCTACAAAAAATCTGCTTTGTTGTGTATCTGACAGACGAAAGCTAAACCTGAAGTTGCAGCATTTTTACAAACCAGTTCTGGTTCATCCGTTTCACTCAACGATCCGCTTTCTCCCTTCTCATTCTCCGTCGCCGCCATGCTTTTTCGGCCGTTAGTTAGCGTATGAAAACAAAGGCACTGCGCATGCCCATATTCTATCGCGATATTTCATTTTCTTATCGTTGCCTAACGGTATTACCGTGAACGGTATAATATGGCCGAGCTCTAATTCTGGTACTCTTTATTTCCTCTTATGTTTGAGGTTTGACTTTCTGATGGATTTTATCTCACATTACCTCGGATGTCATCAGGACAGACATTTTTATTTATTTTAGCTGAGCTCATGTCTCTTTTTTTATTTTATTTCTGTACACCCTTTGTGAGTAAATATTTCCATTATTAAAAGCTTGTTGAACAGCAGCAGTGTTGAGGCATCTCATCTGTTTGGTCCATAAATCTTTATTTAAAACAATTATGCTTTTTAATTTTGTCCATTTCCCCCCTTGTGGTAGTGAAATCGGATAGTACAGAGTTTGATTTCCTAGTATTCTAACAACCCTGAGCATTACTGTATTTTTATAATCACGTTTAATTCAAATTGTTTTTATGTATTCTTACTGTGCTCACAGACCACTTTAAAATGTAACTGATGTTTCATCTTTAAGCTGTTTATCAACTGTTCAGCTGAATTACATTTTGAGCCTTCTCATTGGCTCGTCAGTCACCTGTGAAGCACTAAGATAAATAAAAGGTGTTAAATACAATGACTGCGTATGTGACAGGGACATTTGAGAAGCAGCTCTCCACAGTGTGGCTCAAATTAGCATCAGACTTGTTTTTGATGGCGGCTGAAAAAGCCAGACTCAGAGCGGACAGGAAGAGAACCAGGCCAATTTCCAAAATAAAAGACCTCGTACGATCTAAATGTTTCTGGTGTGGTCTGAAGCTTTACAGCTTTACTTCCCGTTAGTCTGACAAAGACCTAAATAAAAAAAATGTTTAAAATCCACTTAAAACTGCACTGATTCTGTTATCTGTGTATAATCCACAACAGATGACATCTCCAGGCCTACTGCCACCTGCTTCAGGTAACAGCCTCATGTGGACCTCAAAGACAAACGTCTCCACAAATTTCTCTTTTTAAACCTTTCGTATTACTTAAAAACACTTCAGACATTTGGGCCCTTTACAATCTTTTTTAACGCATTTCTGAGTCTGTGCAGATGCCTGACAAAGATGATCACAGTAGAAATAACAGCAGCATTCAAATGGGGTCATGTTGACTCTGTTGCATAAGGTCTTTGTTGTGTTCATGGCTAGGTAAAATTTTATGAAACATCAGACTTGAGTTTTGGGACGCATGCTGCTGCGTGTCGAGTAACAAAGGTCGGTCGCCATTATTGTTTGACTTCTCAGGTTCACGGTTAACTGCAGCCATCGTTTCTGAGGCGAGAAGACATCTCGTGGTTTCTATTTTTGTCCCTGTTCTGAGGAACGGGACCGCTCCCGCAAGCTTGAACATGCAAGACTAGGAAAGCAAGTTTCCTCAACTTCCTACATGGAAAAACAAACTCACACTAGTTCAGTCAAGTTACATTTTTGTTTGGCAATAAAATCAAGAGAAAGGAAAAAGGGAAGCAGAGCCACAGACTGCTCTTTTTAAACAAAGCATGATGTGAAATGTTGTGCGTCAGTGGTGCTGAATGACCTCAATCACATGGCTGAATTTTAGCTCGAAGCTGCAAACAGTTTTGCATAATTAAAGCCAAGATGTTGCGAGCCTTGTGCAGTCATGTGGAGGCCAATGGCTCATATTTAGTCAAACGTAAGAGGTTTGATACGAGTGTGTGGCCCAAACTTTCCTTTGGGACAACACAAACATGTAACAGTTACACAAAGTGAAAGCTGAATGCTTTTCCGTGACTTGATGCCAAATCTCCTGAGGCAGGAGGAGGAGAGTTGGGGTCTTTATAACAAACCCAATTTCTCCAATGTTATTTAGGAGGAAATAAGGACACTGGAGATGTGTGGCTCTGATTTTAAGGCTTACATAAGCACTGCATGGAGAGCTGGTCCAAAACGGAAACCTCACATCCATTAAGATAGTTTGATTTGGATACAGAAGCTCCAAACCGGCCTGCACTCCACCCTCACAGATATCTTATCAGCTGCTTTAGTAAGCCGGTTATTGGCTGTTTTGTTCGGCATTTAAACTCAGATCGTTTCTCTAAAAACGCTGATATACTTTCAGTTACACGAACGACTGCTTGGAGACTGCTGGGTCAGATTTAGATGGCTGCGTGTCCTAGCTTGGATTTGTTAGGTTCGCTCGTAATTATCAATTATCTTACTAAATACACCTGAAAAAAAAGAAAAGCAACAGAAAAATGTAGGACCGTAATTTAAAAACAACTTCAAAAAATACCTGCAGCTTTACTGCGCCAAACTCCCAACTTTAACATCTCTCTCTTAACGGCTAAAAAATGATCACAAATACTTTAACTACGGTGACATTTTTACTATTTTTCTTTACGAATATCTTTAAAAAAAAAAGCACTGGCACATTAGGGGCCCTCCACTTAGCCCGTGTGTAGCCGCTAACTAACGGTACTCACCGCGGCTTATTGTGGTTCCGCTCTGAACCGAAAAACAACCGATAGCAGCCGAGCTAATAGTAGACCTCAATCCTCATAGCCCGGAATCCCTCTCCGCAAACAGTCACCACCACGTCCGGGGCATTTCCACCCAGGTCGCTGCTGATATTTGTGAAGTTAATGCGGGGTTTCCAGATGTCACAGACCGGCTCAGACTCGAGGCTCGCCTTCGTCCTGCGATCTTAGCCGCTGCTAACTGGTTAGCTTAGCTCGGATAGCCTGAGAGCTAACATTAACCGGAGCCGTCCTGCGGGGTGTGGCTGCTGTTTCTCCACGCCGCTGCTCCTCCGAGCATACTGTCCAGCTGCACCAACTTTTCTGAAAAAAAAAAAGCATAAAAAGCAGCCTGAAAATCCGCGCCCCGTCCCCGGGCCGGGCGTGTTTTCTTCCCCCGTTTTTGTTCTTGCTAAACACAAGATGGCACGGGCTGGCGGGGCGGGACTCAGAGCGGTGACCGGAAACCGCTGTCTTCTACTTCCGACAAGGGTCCCGCTTCACAAATAAAAGGGTATAAATAAACCGACCTACATGATATTAATAATCTAGTACAAACGCTCCAAGGCTTGATTTCATGATTATTTTTACGAGACTGCGGTTAATATCCAGAACTTATAAATTCAGCCGGAGAGGGAGAGCTTTAAAAACGAAAGATTATTCACACGATGAACTACAGCAGGGATTTATGTAGAAATCTCCTGAAGCTAATAAGATACTGTAAAAATATTATAATAATGAATGTACAGGAAATAATATATATGGTGTACATGTATGTTATGTGAGGTGGTGTGCTGATTTTTTCATAGTGATGGACAGCCTGATAGATGAGGTCTAGTCTATGATATTTGCAGATAACACTCAGATCTGTAGTGACAGTCGGGAGTAGGTAGAGGAGAGCTTTAAGAAGTGGAGGTATGCTCTGGAGGGAGAGGAATAAAAGTCAGTGGAAGCAAAAGGTGTTGTGTGTCATGTGTCACAGGTGTGTGAATTTGTTTATAATGGAGCACTGTAACAAAAAATAATTTCCCCCAGGGATTAATAAAGTATTCTGATTCTGATGAGAGGTAGACTGGTGGGAAAAAAACATGCAAGGTGCAAAGGTGGCGAAAGTATATTGGTTTAAATACCTGGGGTCAACCATCCACAACAACAGAGAGTGCACAAGAGAGGTGAAGAAGAGAGTGCAGCCCGGGTGGAGTGGGTGGAGCCAACTGTCAGGCATGATGAGAAACAGAAGGAGAGCAGCAAGAGTGAAAGAGAAGGTTACAGGATAGTGATCTTCGGTCTGGAGATGGTGGCACTGATAAACAGACAGACAGAGCTGAACATGTTCAGATCTTACAATATAGAAAATATTTTGACCTTTCGTATTTTAGACATGTTAAAGATTGACCCATTTGCAGCCATTTCGGACTCTTGGTTCAGCAAAAGGAACATTCCAGTTGTGCCTAATCAGACTTTTTTATGCATTAAAAAGTAAAAATCATAATATTAGGCATTAAATAGTAACATTAAGCTGCAGTCCTCTGTCATAAATTTCCTCCAGTTACTCAGTATTTTCTCATCGACTTTCAATACAGGACATTTACTATCATTGTGGGTTACCAATGTCTTTATTCAGCTAAATTATGTAAGTAATATAAAATGTCTCGATTGATCTGTACTTATTTCTTCAGCTTGTGGCAGTTAGTCCTGTGCATACTTTTTTTTTTCAATTTGTTCAAAATTAAAAGAAACCAATTTCACCGTACACTAATGAGAAAATTATGTGAGTTTGTCTTTACCGGGAAAAGAAAATGAGAGGTGGTGGCAGTATTGATTGTTGTGCATGAATGCTGTAAAGCTGCTCAGTTCTGATAAAAAAAAAAAAAAAGTGTCATTCAGGCTCTGAAAGGTGTTAAATAGTGACATCTGGTGGTATTTCTGCGTACTGCAGTGCATGTTTTCATATATGCGGTGCCATGCGTTCTTGATTTATCCTTGTACAGAGATGGTTTCCTGATCCTCTTTTTACCTAAAGGCCTCAAACAGTTTCCACAAAAATTCAGTATTAATGATCTCTGGTCTAACCGGATGACAAAATTCAGATGGAGAAATGTTTCAAAATGCAGTGATATGTATGACAACATGGTAAATTAAACGAAGAAAAACATAAATGTATTTAATGACTGTTTTTATTGCAAAATCCAGCATTGCAAGAATATTAAAATTCATAAACACAAGTATAGCGGTTCCTTCACCTTTTCATTTACACATTATAAATAACAAAAACTAACATGAGGCCAATAGTTTGAAGTCAAAAGCTGTGTCCCAAAATGTCGGCTGCATCCTTCGGAGGACCCGGCCTTCGCGGTGTACGTGGGCCGGGTCCTTCAAAGACTGAGAAGGCCGGAAGTGCGAGGCTGTGAAATGGGACGGTCTAGCCTTCAGATTTGCGTCACCGCTGTGTCGGTGGAGTTTAATAAACTCGGCCGTCTGCTCCTTGCTGTCTAAACTATAACAGGACACTGGCGTAAATTCTCGACCGTCTCACACTTCTGTTTAATCAGTTTTCTGTTTGACGTTTATTCAGCTGTGAGAAAATCCCAGAGGAACCCAGTCGATGGATTATTAAAGTTTATTTAATCTAATAATCTAATAACTTTGATCAACCAAACCGATTTACTCCAGAACAAATAAAACACCCAAAAAAGGCAAACAATTACATTTTTAAGTTATCTGAGTGACTAATATATCATGTTTAACCTGAGTAGCAAAAGAGCGGGGGTCTGAAAACGATGAAGCCGGGAGTCCGCTGCCGGCTGGAGTGACCATTGAACCCCCCGGCCTGCTATCGAGCGGGTGGGTAACAGATGTCTCCGAAAACGTCGGCACACTTTTGCAAATATACGATTTCTTGATAAACCAAGCAGACATTTGTAATTTACACAGCTGCTTTCTCGCCTTAAAATATGTTAAAAGTTTATTTTGTGGCCCACAGCTAAAGAGTCTGATGTGAGTGTTCAACAGTCCCAGTGAGCTCAGAGTCCATCTTCAGGGCCTCTTTAGTCCACCTCCTCAATAGTGGGACCCTGGGAGCCGGCTCGTGCCTGCTCTCCACAGGTAGCACCAGTGGGCATCCCTCCCTGATACAGCTTGCTGATGATGGGGTTGCACACTTTCTCCAGCTCTTTCTGCTTGTGTTGGTACTCCTCTTTATCAGCCAGCTGGTTGTTCTCCAGCCAGGCGATGGCCTCGTCACATTTCTCGACCACCTTCTTCTTGTCCTCCTCGCTAATTTTGCCCTTCAGGTTGTCGTCCTGCATGCTGCTCTTCATGTTGAAGGCGTAGGACTCCAGGGAGTTCTTGGTGGTGATTTTGTCCCTCTGAAGGTCGTCCTCGGCTTTGTATTTCTCTGCGTTCTGCACCATCCTCTCGATCTCTTCTTTGCTCAGTCGGCCCTTATCGTTGGTGATGGTGATCTTGTTCTCTTTGCCGGTGCTCTTGTCCACTGCAGACACGTTCAAAATGCCGTTGGCGTCAACGTCGAAGGTGACCTCAATCTGCGGGACGCCTCGCGGGGCGGGCGGGATCCCCGTCAGCTCAAACTTGCCCAGCAGGTTGTTGTCCTTGGTCATGGCTCTCTCTCCTTCGTAGACCTGGATCAGGACGCCGGGCTGGTTGTCGGAGTAGGTGGTGAAGGTCTGGGTCTGCTTGGTGGGGATGGTGGTGTTGCGTTTGATCAGGGCCGTCATAACCCCTCCGGCCGTCTCGATACCCAGGGACAGAGGCGCCACGTCCAGCAGCAGCAGGTCCTGAACGTTGCCAGAGGTGTCACCCGAGAGGATGGCGGCCTGGACGGTGGCGCCGTAAGCCACGGCCTCGTCTGGGTTGATGCTCTTGTTCAGCTCCCGGCCGTTGAAGAAGTCCTGCAGCAGCTTCTGGATTTTGGGGATTCGGGTGGAGCCTCCCACCAGGACGACATCGTGGATCTGTCCCTTGTCCAGTTTGGCGTCCCTCAGGGACTTCTCCACCGGCTCCAAGGTTCCCCTGAACAGGTCGGAGCATAGCTCCTCAAAGCGAGCCCTGGTGATGGAGGTGTAGAAGTCGACGCCCTCAAACAGAGAGTCGATCTCGATGCTGGCCTGGGAGCTGGAGGACAGGGTCCTCTTGGCCCTCTCACAAGCTGTGCGCAGCCTCCTCAAGGCTCTTTTGTTCTGGCTGATGTCCTTCTTGTGCTTCCTCTTGAACTCCTCCACAAAGTGGTTCACCATACGGTTGTCAAAGTCCTCTCCGCCCAGGTGGGTGTCTCCGGCTGTGGACTTCACCTCAAAGATACCGTCTTCGATGGTCAGGATGGACACGTCGAAGGTGCCCCCACCCAGGTCAAAGATCAGGACGTTCCTCTCTCCTGACTTGCCTTTGTCCAGACCGTAGGCGATGGCGGCCGCCGTGGGCTCGTTGATGATCCTCAGGACGTTGAGGCCTGCGATGGCGCCCGCGTCTTTAGTGGCCTGTCGCTGGGAGTCGTTGAAGTATGCCGGGACCGTGATGACAGCGTTGGACACCTTTTGGCCCAGGTAGGCCTCTGCGATCTCCTTCATCTTCACCAGCACCATGGAGGAGATCTCCTCGGGGTAGAAGGTCTTGTCCTCCCCTTTGTACTCCACTCCGATTTTGGGCTTCCCTCCATCTGAAATCACCTTGAAGGGCCAGTGCTTCATGTCCGCCTGCACCACAGGTTCATCAAACTTTCTTCCAATCAGCCTCTTGGCATCAAACACAGTGTTGCTGGGGTTCAGAGCCACCTGGTTCTTGGCTGCGTCCCCGATGAGCCTCTCGGTGTCTGTGAAGGCCACATAGCTGGGGGTGGTCCTGTTGCCCTGGTCGTTGGCGATGATTTCTACTTTCCCGTGCTGGAAAACCCCCACACAGGAGTAGGTGGTGCCCAGGTCGATGCCGATCGCTACGCCTTTAGCTGAAGACATCTTGATTACGTTGACTTAGTCTCCTAAAGAGGAGGCGAAAACATCAGAGAGGAACATTAACAAATACTGACAGAGGCAACAACAACTTCTGTTTATGGAGCGCTAAATTAAGTCAAACTATGGGTCCTTAAAATAACAAAGTTGTACAATTTGTGCAAATTTTGAGATTTTAAGTTTTAAATATAACTAAATTTTTTTAAATCATGCCTGCCTCTCGCCCTATGACAGCTGGGATAGGCTCCAGCGCCCCCCGCGACCCTGAAAAGGATAAGCGGAAGCGAATGGATGGATGGATGGATTTTTTAAATCTTGCATTAAACATTGCTGCATTTAAAAATAAATCAGTACAGTCTTCCCTAGTCCAACTGAGTATATATTTATTATTGAATATGGTCTCGTGACTCTGCACGATTAATACTGTATTTTCTAGAAGGCAGCCATGATTTTAGGTGCTGGGTACAGATATAAATCCACCTCATGTCTAAACCTTATTTAAAAATCAGTACATTTTTAAATAAGGTTTTATTTAAACATTTTTAAATCAAATACTGCAGTAGTTATCTTTTATAACTGACA